CTACGGACCTTTTCACAAGACGAGAGAGCCGTTTTCTTATCAAATTACCGTCTTGCAGCTGCGGAAGAGGGCCGAAGAAGGATTGTGGAGAGAGAATCCATGGCTGACCCCATGTGATTGTTGTGCATCTCGGCAGGGGTTGAGCAGAGAACTTCCAGGAAAGGCAGCTCCTCCGTAGGATGGGGGGGATCGTGGAGGTGGGCTTGGGAGCGGCCTGGCCTGGGGTATTACGAGGCCGTGCTTCTGGGGGGGATGTTATGGGGCATGGGGTAATTAAGTGGCCGAGTTTGGTGATGCATCAGAAAGTGAGGTTGTTGGTTGTGAGGAGTCGTCTTGATGTCAGTCCAGCTATAGTCTACCCGTAGTGAAACTCTAAGAATAGGTCACACGTGTGTATAAACTGTAATTGGCAGTATCGAGATCAACATACCACAGACATTGTGGCTTTAACGTGCCTTGCAGAAGTCTAACGTCAAGCCACCCATGGAATGGATAGAATCGTTAGGCATACAACTCCCGTCTTGGCTTGTGATCCGGGGAACGAGCCTCGGATATAGCCCCTGTCCCCAATCCCCGCACACGAACCATTCCCTAATCACACAAGCCTCCCGCCCTAACCCACGAATCCTCATCCATTGTTGGTTGAGCTAATTACTCACTGTGGCTGCCGAATTTCCGCTGGTTGTCTGTCCTAAAGGCGCTTTTACGGAAGGATTCTGCGACGCCGGCGCCCCTCATGTAACATCACCGCGGTGCAACGTCATGAGGGCCACGATATGCCTCCATCGAGATGATGATTTTCCCATTCACGCCGTTGGTCTCCGCACACCAAAAGTCCCAATCCCTGCTTCGTGATAATTACCCCATCTTCAAGGGCCTTGTTTTTTGTCTGTCATATTTTTACACATGCTTTCCTCGGCTTGTGATGCTTAGTTGGGGCTTTTCTCCGAGTCGCATATCGGGAGTTGCGGAGTACATCAGGTCCCTCGTCTTCATCAATTGAGCAGACAACATCTTGAATTTGTCAAGATTTCTGCTACGAAGCCTCAATTCGTGTTCAAAATGTCGCCTCGAACAAGCGGTCTCCTCGACAGCGACGATTGGGATGAGGTCAAGACGGACTCAGGCTCAGACTGGACGCTTGCAAAGTCCTACTCATCCTGGAAACCAGCGGCTGCAGGCGGCAAATTAAAACACATCATCAACACCACCAGAGCTGCAATTCGCGCCAGAACACGGCCTATAGAGAACCTCCGTCCAACAGCTTACCTAGACGGTCTCCGAGGTTTCGCAGCGCTTCTCGTGTACTTCCATCATCATGAACTTTGGGCACACGACATCGTTGGCCAGAACGCAATCCTCGAGAATGCTTTCGGCTATGGAGGAAAGCATTACTTTGCATCATTCCCCTTCATAAGGCATTTCTTCACAGGCGGCCATTACGCAGTATCGACATTCTTCATCATCTCAGGCTACGTTCTGTCGCTCAAACCAATGGGACTAATTCAGTCTGGAGAGCATGCACAATTGGGCGATGTCATAGCATCTTCGCTCTTCAGGCGCTGGATTCGCCTTTACCTGCCTCTCATCATGTCTATGCTTGCCTACATCACACTACTACACATCTTTGGCGTCTGGGTACGAATCATGACACAGCAAAAGAGCTGGTACGACGAGCTTTGGGCTTTCTACTATGAGTTCAAGAACTTTAGTTTTGTCTTCAAAGAAGGTGGCGAGCCATGGTTGACCTACAACCGCCACTTATGGTCTATCCCCATTGAATTCAAGGGATCTGTCGTCATCTTTACAGCACAGATGGCGTTCTCTCGATGTTCGAAGAATGCTCGCCTCTGGTGTGAGACGGGCTTGATCTTCTACTTCATGTACATCGCAGATGGGTCATTCTACTCCATGTTCACAGCTGGTATGCTCCTCTGCGATTTGGATCTTCTTGCCAGCAAGGGCGATCTACCCCGCTGGATGGCACGTCTGGAACCTGCCAAGGAGTTCATCTTTTACCATCTCCTAATCTTCAGCTTGTTTCTTGGTGGAGTCCCATCTGAGAACCGCAATGTTGAGCAACTTGCCAAGAACAGGGGCTTCTACTACCTTTCGTGGTTCAAGCCTCAAGCAGTGTTTGACTACAAATGGTTCTACCTCTTCTACGCAGCTGTCTTCTTGGTTGCATCTATCCCTCGAATCTTCTGGCTGAAGAGCTTCTTCGAGACGAGATTCTGTCAGTGGCTTGGGCGCATCTCGTTCGCTCTATATCTGGTCCACGGCCCAGTGTTATGGACCATTGGCGAGAGACTCTACGTGGCAGTGGGGTGGCAGAACGAGGAGATCATGAAGAACATTCCTCATTGGGCAAACAAGCTAGCCCTGCCAATGTCTGGACCCTTGGGATTGGAGATCTCATTTCTCCTCCCTCAGCTGATTCTCGTGCCCTTGACGTTTGGGCTAGCTGACGTCGTGACACGGTTTATCGACACGCCCAGCGTCAAGTTTGCAGCGTGGTTCTATAAGAAGGCGTTAGGGGATCCAACTAGCAAGCAGGCCAAAGCGTAGCATAGATCTTGACGCAGAACAAATCAAGCTTAATTCTTTTCGGTAACATCACATGTGTCATTGCCATGCTAGTCTCAGCTCTCCCACCGTTAGAACTTAGATCTGAAGATATCTACCGTACCCTCAGACCCTCGATGTCAGATCGATTTGGGGCATAATGTCGCATGCTCTTTTTTTTTTTGCTTGTGATCCTCGGCTCACCGCCAAGTGATGGAGGGTCACCTGCATGAGATTGCCGTTGAAGAAGGCAACGGCTTCGTATTACCAAGCCATGTCAGGAACCCCAACCTCTTCTCATTACGCTAATCCCCGCTCCCGCGACTAAGATCTGCACACCTCCACGATCAGAAAAGAACGTCCCCTGTTCAGGAACATGCGCCGTTGACTAGTGCAATGCCACCCCGCAAAAGTACCTCAGCAGCCTCGGCATGCATATGAAAAATGTGTCGACGTCGAATTGCGGCGGCATTGAATGTCACAATCTGCCGGGTTTTCCCCGTCAACTTATCTTCAGCTGGGTAGGGTCCTTGAAATGTCATTGGTCTTCTAGTGAAAAGCCAATTGCCGTGGCTGCATGATTATCACCATCTCCAGACTCCGCATCTCCCGCGTGAATAATCTCTCAGCTCCTCTTCGGCGTAAAGGGTCATCTTACGACTGACCCCTGTCCACGGAGTATGGTTCAAATAAGGATTAGTTAAATGACGTACGGCGCAGTCACAGTCACAGCCAAAGTTGCATTGTTATTGTTCAAGGGCTTCAATGGACCCCGCCTGCGTCAAACTCCATCCTCCAACAAATTCGCTTCTTTACGACGTGCATTGGATGCTTCAAGATGCTCGTCCGAGATTCTCGAAAGCTGGTGCTGTTCGTGATACCAGTATTTCTTCTTGTTGTCTTTGCTCTGAAGCTCTATCTTGACCCATCATCTTTCCCTGCCCATGTTCAAGGATGGGTTCCATCGCAGCTGAAGAAGTCACCTGGGGATGAGCAAGAACTCTTGGCTGATGAAGAGCCATCCACAACGCAAGCATCACCTGTTCAATCGTCACCCGCTGCCAAGACAGATACGCCAGAAGACAAACCTTTTGGCGAGGGCATCATTCCTCAAGATGTCAGCGAAACGCACATTGAAGTCTTCTCATTATCTACCAAAGACAAGAAGTTCTTCGAGATTGACTTCAGAGACTTCACTGCTCTCAACCCCAATCTTATCCCCCATCCTACACTGGAAAACACATGGATTGTCGTAGCTCAATGGCTACAAGAAGGCGGTAATTCACTCTGGTTTGCTGAGCTTGTTTGCAACGCTGCGTTCCAAGACGGTGTCCTTCGATGTCTTCACTCACCCACTACTCTACCTGTCACTGCGACGGTGGGAGGAGACAAATGTCAAGGCGACATGGCGTATTTCCACATGAACATGGGCCCACACGATGCACGCGTGTTTTATGGCCCTGATAGACCTTACACGACATATGGCTCAAACTCCATACACACTTGCTTTGGCCAGTTCGTTCAGGACTTTCGTACACTGACAGGCTGGTCGGGTGATATGGAGAATCTGGGTGTTTTCAGAGTTGGCACTGAGCTTCAAAGACCACTGCCTTGGAACATGGTTGAGAAGAATTGGTTCCTCTTCTGGGATTCCAACGGCAATATGTACACGCACTACGACATCAAGCCTAAGAGGGTATTTGCCCAGATGAACCCCGATGGCTCAGCTGGTCCTGATCTTGCACCAGCCGCAGTAGGCGACGAGCAATGCTTGGCCAAATACCTCCCCAAGCTCCAAACAGACCTTGAGTCCATCCACCAGACCACCAATTCTCTTAAAGTCACCATGTGTCGTCGAGACGAACCTTCTTGTGTACCTGATGACAGCAATACCTTCATCATGGTGATATACCAGCATAAATCCTACTTCAACTATCACAGTGTGTATGAGCCATATGTTATGCTATTCAAGCAGCAGGCTCCTTTTGAGATCCATGCCATGTCAAGAAAGCCTGTTTGGATTCATGGCCGAAAGAAGTATCCTGAGAAGGAGACTTCAGATATGTTTTATGTGACATCTATGAGCTGGAAGAGTCGTGAGCAGAAGTATCATGGATTCATTGGAGACGAGATGTTCCTGGGCTTCGGAGTTGAGGATGTTAGAACGGGTGGAATCGATATAAGGGCAGAGGATATACTGAAAGACATGGGCTTATGTTTCGAAGGATAGATATATATCACTGTATGGCTCTATTTAGAGTAGTGGCGAGACGGCTGAATAATGTTAATGAATTTTAATGGCCTTGGATCCCATGGGCCGCTGAAGATAAATCAGACCTTTCACTTTCTGTTAGACAATGATTCAACAGCTATGGATTACGACTACCTAGAGTTTTCTATCTTAGTAGTCTCGATAATGGTTCTACGCAAGCTGACTATCTCACATGCGGATAAGCTCCAAGAACGGCCTGCCCCCCCGTATGAATAAAGAGAACATTCTTGTCTTTCAGTCCGCCGCTCTTGGCTGTATGAAGCAGCCCGTTGAAAGCCTTACCCGTATAGACAGGATCAGTCAGAATACCCTCCGCCCTTGCTAGCTCCTTCATCCCATCAGCGGTGCTTTCATTGACCTGTCCGTATCCTTCCCCGATATAAGAAGCATCAATTTCAAAATCGTCTTCCGTGATCTCATCCGGGGACACGCCAATCTTTGACGCTGCGTTCTTTGCTATGCTCAATACCTTTTCAACGACATCCTCCTCCTTCGGATGCAATACCGAAAATCCAATGAGATGTTTCTTGGACCCTGTAATACCATGCTTTTGCGCCAACTTGAGGCCTGCGAGTATACCTCCGAGCGTGGAACAAGAACCCGCAACAAGAGCTATGACGTCAAACGTAACGCCGAGCTTTACCTCTTGTTCAAGCAGTTCAAATGCCCAGCGAGCATAGCCCAAGCCTCCCAGAGGATGCGTGCTCGCGCCAGCTGGGATTGAATAAGGCTTTTGCCCGCGATCTTTGAGAATTTGGGTCACAGTCTCTTCGCTGGTGTCTGGGGTGAAGGTCTCAGCGCCTAGAATTGAGTTTGCTTGGATGTTGCCGAGATACTTGTACTCAGCGTCCTCAGATGCAACACGATTGGCTGGATAAAGAGCAACCTTTCTAATCAGTCAATGAGCTTCTGCGACGTTTAGTAACTAACCCACCTTGAGACCAAGACGAGCTGCTGCAGCAGAAGTTTGACACATGTGGTTTGACTGTAATCCACCCGTAGTCACAAGGGTATCGGCACCCTGCGCGAGGGCATCCGCTAAGACATATTCGAGCTTGCGTACTTTATTTCCGGCAAAAGCAAGGCCCGAATTACGATCCTCGCGGGCTATCCATAAGTTTGCACCCCCATCTATAGATGAGCTGAGGCAAGATAATCGCTCGATGTCTGAGGGCCGGTCGAAAAGTAACTGTACCCGAGGAATCTCGGCGAATGGTGATGGGAGCTTGACCATGATGGCGTTATATTACGTGGAGCGAGATTGAAGAATATTAATTGATGTCTGTTAGAGGCTGCTTGTCGTTCGGTAGTGTACAAGGACAAAGAGAAATGACAGAATTAAATACAGAGAAGTCCAAAGGGCGTGAATCTGACATTGGGTACATTATTAAGCAACATCGGCTGGGCTTATGTCAATTGACGCAATACTACAGATAAGTAATCTTCGTCACTGCATCACGCATATAAAGCAGAATTTATTACAGGAGTAGTAAACGGCCTTCCGGCATGAGCTCACTGTGATTGACTGACTACAAAATAATTTGCAAATGTAGAATATGGAACAATCTGGTGTCTTACCGTTTGTCACGACCATCATGGTGAAGCTTAATTAGTAGTCAATATGTCATTGACTATTTCGGCAAAGATCTAGAAGGTATGACATATGATATCACACAAAAATTTGTAGAAGTCATGATTAACAGAGACACTTGAAACAATTCTGCCATTCGGTCGTGATCTTGCCGGAATGTTGATGGATAACAACTGGGATGGACAATGGGGTCTCGTAGCCAATACCCATACTCATTTATGTGACTTCAAGAGACAAAGAGTCACAGGAATTAATAAGAAATGGGCATTACCCACGTTTCATCCGACTTTTTGACCCAAGAGGCAGAAATAGCCACGAATTCGAGATAATATGAATAAGCATAAACGAACACAGCTCTTGGCGAATCTCCATCGCCGCTGTCATTTACCGCTTTAGGCAATTCACAGCGCATCTCGATGGATCTCTGGCCGAGGGAACAGTGGCTGACCAATGACGTTGACGGCGAAGGCGCTAATGCATTGGAGTCTTGGCTCACTATTACAGTTTAGACTCGTTATAAGCGTAAATATTCCCGCCAGCCAATCTCGAATCGTTTTCTGCCACTATGACTCCTAACACGACATCAAATCGGGCATTTAAGCCTTGGAACCGGAATATTAAGACTTAAAATCGGTAGATCTACAGTTTGATCGGGGTGATGGAACCTTCGGGGCCCGTGGAGGCCAAGACAGAGCCCCATTTCCTGTCATGTAATCTGCTACGACTGGACGGTTGACGAAGCAGCCAGAATGACAACGGCAAAAGTTGCTTCGGTCGGTCTAGTCGTGAGGGCTGCACCGTTTCTTGGCTTCCCCACAAGGTGCATTTGATGAAAGTTGCCATGCGAGCCTCCAAGCATATAAGACCGGGCTGCTTGGCCAAGGACTCGAGAAGGAATTCCTCTCTACGCTTCTCTTCTCAAGTTATCACTCTCCTTTGGTAGCGACAACAATGTCTCCCAAGTCAACTCCTCCAGATATGGAGCATCATGTTTCTGGTCAATCCAACAAGCCACTTTCGCGCCCAGCACATGCTTTGCCAGCTGATGTAGTCATCCAAGAGCTCAACACGAACCCTGCTACTGGATTGAGTGCTTCTACAGCATCGCAACGACTTGTCGAGTATGGACCCAATGATCTTGGCGAGGAAGAGGGCGTGAAACCCATCAAGATCTTCATTGAACAGATCTGCAATTGCATGACCTTGGTAATACCAATCTTCCGCTATTACCGACTCTCAAAGACTAACACATTTAGGTTCTGATTCTAGCCCTCGCCGCAAGTTTCGGTATACAAGCCTGGATCGAAGGCGGCGCTCTCGCTCTAATTATCCTCCTCAACATTGTCATCGGGTTCTTCCAAGACCTACAAGCCGCTCGAACCGTCCACTCCCTGAAGTCTCTCAGCCTCCCTACAGCCAATGTCTTCCGTGATGGGAAGACAATCACGATCCAAACAAGCGAAATCGTACCAGGGGACATCATTGATCTCAAGATGGGCGACTCTGTACCAGCTGATATTCGTCTCTTTGAGGTTTCCAACTTCGAGTCAAACGAGGCACTGCTCACTGGAGAGTCTCTGCCTGTACGAAAGAATCCTACGATGCAGTTCGATGACGACACAGGACCCGGCGATCGTCTCAACGTCTGCTACAGCTCTACTATTGTTACGAAGGGTCGTGGCAGAGGTGTTGTATTTGCTACTGGGGCTTATACTGAGATAGGCGCTATTGCAGCTGCTCTGAAAGACACTGGACGGAAGAGACGGGAAGTCAAACGTGATGAGAACGGCCAAGCATCGTTTCTGTCACACGTCGCTAAGTGGCTGCTAACCACCTACGATGTAATTGGCGAGTTTCTGGGCGTTAACGTTGGAACTCCCCTGCAGAGGAAGTTATCACAACTATTCCTCTACGTCTTCGGCTTTGCGATTGTCTGCGCCATCATTGTCCTCGCAGCCAACAAATTCGACCCACGCAAAGATGTCATCATCTACGCTGTTGCTACAGCTGTGGGAACACTGCCTGTCTCTTTGATCTTGGTCTTGACCATCACTATGGCAGCGGGAACGAAGCAGATGGTGAGCCGCAAGGTTGTTGTGAGGAACATGCAGAGTTTGGAAGCACTTGGGGGAGTCACCAGTAAGTATTGTGTGTTTACATGACGTCTGTAACCATAGGGACTAACAAATGGATAGATATCTGCTCTGACAAGACAGGTACTCTAACTCAGGGCAAGATGGTAGTCAGAATGGCTTGGCTTCCAGGACACGGTACTTACTCTGTGGAATCTACGAACGAACCATACAACCCTCAAGTTGGCAGCATCGACTTTACTCCTGTACAGCCTACAGAACTATCGGCACAAGGCGAAAAAGAAAAGTTGCATAGCATCAATCCCCACGATGAACCTACTGCCAACGAAGCGCTGAAGCATTACCTCGACATCGCTTCCCTCGCCAATCTCGCAGTCGTGGAGAAAGGACACAAGGACGATGGCCCGGAAGAGTGGCTTGTACAGGGCGATCCTACGGAGATTGCAATTCAAGTCTTTGTTACCCGTTTCAACTGGAACCGGATTTCTTTATCTTCCGGTCAAAGTCCACGATGGAAGCAACTCGCCGAGTTCCCTTTCGACTCGGAGGTCAAGAAGATGTCGGTGGTGTTCAGAGACACTCTTTCAGAAGAAACGCATATCTTCACCAAGGGCGCTGTCGAGCGGGTACTCAGCAGCTGCGTATCCATGGAGCAATCGAGCAGAATTGAGCCTCTCGATGAACCAGCTAAGGAAACCATCCTGGCCAACATGGAGGCCTTTGCACGTCTTGGTCTTCGAGTCCTTGCCCTCGCTAGTCGATCTCCCATCACTGGTCTCCCTGAAGATCTCTCATTAGCCATTGACAGATCTGAGTTTGAGAAGGACCTGGTATTCCGCGGCCTCATCGGTATCTATGATCCTCCACGCCCCGAGACACGCGGTAGTGTTCAGATGTGCCAAAAAGCTGGTATCAGCGTGCACATGCTGACCGGTGATCATCCCGAAACCGCACGAGCCATCGCCGCTGAAGTCGCTATCATCCCGTCCCCAGAACGAATGCGAATGGTCAGGAGGGATGTTGCCGACACGATGGTTATGGCAGCTCATGACTTTGATCACCTTTCGGATGCGGACCTCGACGCCATGCCAGAGTTACCGCTTGTTGTAGCGCGTTGCTCTCCCACGACAAAGGTTCGCATGATTGAGGCTTTGCATCGTCGTGGACGCTACGTTGCCATGACTGGTGATGGAGTCAATGACAGTCCTAGCTTGAAGCACGCTGACGTCGGTATTGCGATGGGCCTCAACGGCTCAGATGTCGCAAAAGAGTCTTCTGATATAATCTTGACCGACGACAACTTTGCCTCTATCCTTAATGCTATTGAAGAGGGCCGCCGGATTTTTGACAACATTCAGAAGTTTATCCTTCATGTCCTTGCTGCCAACGTCGCTTTCGTCACCTGTCTTCTGGTAGGTTTGTCCTTCAAAGACGATAGCGGTGTATCTATCTTTGTCTTGACCCCCGTTGAAATTATTTGGATGTTGCTTGTTGCTGGAGCATTTACCGAGACTGGCCTTGGGTTTGAGCAGGCGAGTCCTGATATCCTTCGTCGACCACCTCACAGTGTAAGTCAAGACTTGACCCTATTTTCACGTGCTTGTAACTAACGTATTTAATAGCTTAAGTATGGTGTCTTCACCCCAGAGTTCCTAGTTGACCTCGTGGTCTATGGCATCCTCATGCTCATCAGCATCCTTGGTTCTTCAGTCATCGTTCTCTACGGTTTCAACGACCAAGGCTTAGGACATGACTGCAACAGCACGTACTCTGCCTCCTGCGACACAGTCTTTACAGCCAGATCAACAGCTTTCACCACAATGACATGGGACTTTCTACTGTTTGCTTGGCAGCTCGTTGACTTCCGCCGCTCATTCTTTGCTGAGATCTTCGAAAAGGGCGGGAGTTTCAAGGCCTGGACTAAGCGTCTCTGGCAGAATCCCTTCCTCTTTTGGTCTGTCACTTTGAGCACTGTTCTCATTCCACCAACACTCTACATCCCTGTCATCAACCATGTTGTATTTATGCATAATCCCATCACTTGGGAATGGGCGGTTATATTCATTGCAGTTGGCGTTTTCTTTGCTGGAGCGGAGGGCTATAAATGGGCCAAGCGAGTTTATTTCCGACGTACGGTGGCGAAAGAGTTTCGCAAGGATATCGCTGATGTTGAGCTTTATGCTTTTGGTAGATATATGGATGGTTCAGAGGACGGTAGTGAGTCGAATTGCGATGTTGGCAAGAAGTGTTAGGCACGCATAGATAGAAACAGTCATAGAAAAGCGAGACCTTTTATTCCTTGATAATATACTGTCCACCCAGGAAAGAAGTGTCCTCGAGCCATGCTTTGAGACCCTTCATCTCCTCCTCGAGCTCATCTTGCGAGCATCCTCGCTCAGCTGCCTCTAGATCAGCTATCATCACGCTGTGACCATCGCGGACCAGGAAATTGAACTTGTTAGTATCACCCATCTTGATACCGAGTTCATGTAGCTTCTTCAGGGCCTTTTCACATCCCTCAATGTCCCTTGGCTCTGCCGGTCTTGCGCCTTCAACGAACTCTGTGACAAATCCGATAACACGTCCATCTTTGCCTTCTGTAACGTGACCAAGAAATTTTGGCACGACCTCGATGTTCTGAAGCCATCCATAAGCTGTAGTTTCGGCCTCGACGTAATGAACCTCCCAGGGCCATACAGCAAATTTTACCAGCACAGGTTTACCAGCGTTGACATCGGGGTGCGTCGAAACGTGAACTCTCTGTCTCAATCGCTCTTTTCGAGTAAAACCGAGCTCGTCAAACCTCCGTGGATGCCAACAGTTCTGTACTCCAGGAAATTGCACGATCTCGGTCTTGACAAATGAAGGTTCCCCTGTAGCGGGGTCTCGAGCAACATGGTCATTATTCCAGTCTCCGGAAGGGAATTGGGGGAAGAGATTCCCAAGGATAATAGGCTCGAAAGCACGGTCGTGATGATCGCAGAGAAATGTACCCGGTGCCGTTTTCACGTATTTTGCGAGGCTTCCATCGACGAGAAAACGATAATCGCTCTCCACAATGTCGTCCCCGTCCAGGAGACATGCGAGCATCCTCACATTGGTATTTTTTTTGTAAGTTCGTCATTTTTGAAATCAGTGTAAAGGTTGGCGGTGAGGGAGTGAACGATGTTGGGTTGACGGTTGGTTGAGGTTCTGAGCAACGTGTGGTGCATCACTTGAGCCAATCAACTGGCGCGTCGATTGCTGTTGGTCTTTGCATGGCCAGTATGGACGGGGCTTGAGGGATCCCCTAGCCCAAAGATAGAACTATTCATGTCTCACAAACACAGTTTCTATCTCATAATCATAACTCATGATTGAGGATCACATACTGGCGGAGCAAACTGGATCGGTCTGGTGATAGAGCCTCATAACGGATTTATAACTCATTTTCAAGCTGCAATGTGATTTCACGCATCTGCATATCTCGTGTATTTCAAATAGCTTGAAATTGATAGCTCTAGATAGATAGGCGGGCAATGAGATATGATACTTATCTTTAGACTTTCGATAGTTCCCTTTATCTCGTGTCGAACTCTCTTCAAGCAAGTGAATTTATCTCTTTTGGCAGGTGTTTAAGTCAAAGCCTCCCTCAGCTGACGACGATAGCATGCGGAGGCACGCAGCTCTAGCTGATTCAGGCATAGACTGGCCCAGACCCTCCCCGTGGCTATGCCTGGCATTGCTCCGCTTAAGCCGAGATGACGGCCTGAATCTCAAGGCATCAACTCATGAACCTCGATTCTTTTGACATTCCCCAGCTTGGGCTTCGGAATTAACAAAATCAACCAAACATCTTACAAACCAGGTGCCAGGATCCCAGGATCAACAAAATTATATCCATTTCTACCAACAACGAGACCCTACCCACGACGTGCCATTGCTTTTGTCTCGCTCATCTACTTTTCTCGCTAATCGCCCCTTGTTTTGCTTCTGGTTATCTTAATAAGCAACGAGGCAAGACTACACCTTGAGGCCTCAATCTCTCTCATCTCATCCTTATCTTATCCGATGTCAACTTCGCCCCCCGACAGCGACAGTATCTCATCAACCACCGTCCAAGTAGCCAAGAAAGCCTGCCACAGCTGTCGCCGTGCGAGACTTCGCTGCGATAGGTCTATCCCGCACTGCTCGAAATGCGTTTCCAGGGGGGTTGAATGCCTGGGCTATGGCCGCCTATTTCTATGGACTGGCTCAGTAGCCACGCGCGGGAAATTGGCCGGACAGAGTTCGAGTGCCTCCGTGTGCCGGTTGCCCAAGCAAGGTGAATCGGACATGACTATTGATGTGCCATCCGATGTTCAATCTTCTGATATGCAAATGGGATCCTTCGATACTCAAGGCTTTGAGCCAGGTGCATGGGGTTTAGTGTCGCTCCAGGAAAATCAACTCTTTGTTCCGAACAAAACTAAGCCATGGTCCCCTCCTTCGCCTCCTTCACCAACATCATCAAACTCTCCGTGGACATTGGTCGATCCATTATTTCAGGACATGACGCATTCCCAGAGATGGTACTTGAATTATTGTATGACTTCTCAAGACTTTGGTCTTTCATGATGCTAACCCTCAACTCAGATTCAACTCGAGTTAGTCTGGATCTCGTTGGTGATGATCAAACCAACGGTAACAGAAATCCATATCTAAATCTTCTGCAACTCACAAACGAGCATTCGTTTTTGCAACAAATTATCATTGCAGTATCTGCATCTCACATGTGCAATTTGTCGAGATCATGGCTGGGCCCTAACTCATATGAAAGAGAAGAGGCACCAAAGAAATTGCTTATGGATGCTCTCGTTGCCAAACAAAAAGGACTGCAAATGATGCCTGATGCCTTGCGGAATATTGACACCATTGGAGCCGATGTGATTCTTGCTACTGTTTTGTTTCTCATCAACTCAGAGCTCATCGAGTCTGGTTGGCAAAGTTGGCGGCCTCATCTCGAAGGCGCGAAGAAGCTTTTGAATATGATAGAACCATATACTGGCTCTGACACAACTTTGAGAGACTATATTGTTGCGGACTGTTATGTGTAAGTGGAGATACTTCTAATTCAAGACTGACTCGATGCTAACTGACTCATGTAGCTATTGCACCTTGAGCTTGTCTTTCAACCCATCACAACCAGGCACCCAGGCAGCATCATTTGCACCAAGTCAAGTCAAAGAAACATTATCGCGAACCAATAACTCTTTCTTCTGTTGCCCGCCTGAAGTTCTCGACATCCTCCGTGAGACGGCACAACTTTTGCATGCCGAAGCTCAAGGGAACGTCTCCAGCAATGAAGCGCTTATCGAATTCACCAACCTACTGGACCGCGTACAACGTCTCGACGTCCTCAAATGGGCAAAGGAGAGAATGCCAGATGCAAGCAAAGCTGCCCTGTGGAGTAGTGCCCGAACTGGCTCCGCGCACAGATTGGCAACCTGTCTCTACATCATCCAGGCAGCTCCCGCACTACGAGCCAGGATGCCAGACCAAGTTCCCAAAACACTCATCCAGGATCTTTACGAGACGCTCCTACCACAGCCCGACGAAGACCCAAACTTCAAAGCCACGGGCTGGCCCACCTTTATTTATGGAACAACGGCAACGACTCCGGAGAGCCGGGCATGGGTTATGGATCGATTGAAGGCGGTGGCGCAAATCAACCCGTGGGGATTCCTATACTCTGCGATTGATACGTTGCAGATTTTGTGGAAGCATGAGAATGGCGATGATGGATGTATGAATTGGTTGCAGAAGCTCAAGGATTTGAACGTGGACTTTTTGATGGTTTAGGTCTGGCGCTGAGATGGGATCATGGGAAAACAGGACATATTTGATACCACGGCAATGATGTATAGCAACTATTTATGAGAGCGATGTAGAAATGCTTGACACGACTTTTCCGTAACGTACTCGGTTTCATGAATGAAAAATTTTGACAGAAACCTTGAATCATGTTGCTGACTTGGTGAGCTGTTAGGCTCCAGTAATCCTGGCCCTTGACCTGGCTTCTAGGAGGCATGGGCCATGCGGTTTTTTTCTTCCATGGCCGAGAAAGGGGGAAGCATGTGTTTGCATCACGATCGCGGTACTGAACCGAGCTGGCGACCTCGATACGTCCAAGTCAGGTTCAATGGAGTTGAGCTAATGGTAACTCCCATTTGATCGTGACCGTCGAGGGCTGTACAGTACTACTACTCCGTAGCTTCAGACGGAAGTCGGCTGGTGACTAATCAATCGGCCAAGCCTGTTTGTCACTGGCTGCTGGAGTGGACATTTTTCCCGAACAGACAGGTACAGCAACGTCAGCTTCAACTTGTCTAAAAGTGTTATCGCGTATGTCGCATCGCTTCAATTATACTCAGAATACTGCTCTTCAAACCGACTGTGACCGCCGAACCTCATCGGGGAAGACCGTCGACACAAACGATGGCAACTTACCCCAGGGATCATCCGTCCAATGCCAGCGCAAAACATGCACGCGACCTTATCTCTCCATCACGGAAGTGGTGTGCCGTCTTCCACACCATGACATCAACAGCTTAAACCCTTTCAATTCCACCCAGCCAACGTACCACAAATTGTCAGACGCACTGCCCTTTGTGGAATCGCTCCGGTCTCCCCATTGCGGCCCGACATGGGAATGAACCTTCTGGTGGGGGACTGGTCCGAAAGATATGGATCCTGGGGCATAATATAAAAAATTTCCTCCCCTCCTCTTCTGTCTGCGATCGCTGCTCTGTTTCTGACCTGCTAGGAAATCACTATCGCATACAGACAATGTCTTGCTGACTCTCGATCGATATCCTGCATACCCATACCTATCCTCCTTAACGCGTGTGAATGCGGCTCCGAGGAGCCGTTTGCCCCAAGACAACTTAACAAGACCCCACTACCAAGTACTACTGCAAATCGACGCGGATGGCCGTTCCGTCTGCTCGCGATCTCGATGAAGTCCTTCCGGGCACACGACGTCTCTTCGCCGACGAGCACGCCAGCGTCGCTTCCGCCGATGCCAGCATCGAAAAGCACGGCGATGTCATCCTCGTCCCCCCTCCGACAAAGTCTCCCAATGATCCATTGAACTGGAGTCTTGCGCGCAAGACCTGGCATTCGTTTCTCGTGTGCTACATTGTCGCTTTGACCGCCGCCACATCCAATGTTGCTGGTGCCGCGAGCACAGGTGTCAATGAGCAATACGGGATTAGTTACGACGTTTTCAATACGGGCGCTGGTGTGCTCTTTGTCGCGATCGGATACTGGACGCTTCTCAGCTCGCCTGCGACGCATCTTTACGGACGACGAATTCTATACTTGGTAGGGACGGTATGGGGTCTTATTGGCAACATTTGGTTCGGCCATTTGAAGACCACTGGCGACACGATTTGGTCTCAGCTCTTTGTCGGAGCTTCCGAATCTGTCGCCGAGGCTGTTGTTCAGTTGTCTCTGCTAGACATTTGGTTCGAGCACCAGAATGGTACTTCGCTGGGTATGTATACCCTTGCCACTACGGTCGGAACCTATGTTGGCCCTTTGATCGGAGGCCATTTGGCAGAGAATGTCGGCTGGCGCTGGATTGGCCATATGGGCGCAATTGCCTCTGGCTTTACCCTCGTCCTCTTTTACTTCGGTCTTGAGGAGACAGCCTTTGAGCGCAATCGCTACCTCAATCTCCACCAGACTGAGGAGCGCGACGCCAACCGCGGTAATGTTGAGGGTATTCCCGCGGCTACTGGCGACCATGTCGTCACCAAGGATGCCGAGGAGAAGAACATGTCGCCTCCAGTTGACGAAGAAGCTGCGATCTCTCAAACCGCATCTGCAGTGCGACGAGAGGAGGTCGAGCGCAACAGACTCGAGGCTGCGTTCGCGCGCAAGAAGTCTTACTGGCAGCGCATTGCTCTCATCACTCCAGCGTCCAACCTGCGCGGTTTGGGATTAACGCAGTATGTCCACCGCCTGTGGCACACGATGCGCATCTTTTCCTTCCCCGCAGTTTGGTTCGCTGGTCTTCAGTGGGGAATGCAGAACATTGCATTGTCCTTCTACCTCACCGTCGAGGAGGATTACTGGGTGAACGAGCCGTACAACTACAGCGACTCTGCTGTCGCCAACATGAACATTCCTTGTCTGATTGGAAGTGTCATCGGCTGTTTCTACGGCGGATACTGCAGCGACAAGTTCATCCTCTGGAAGGCTAAGCGCAACAACGGCATCATGGAGGCCGAGTTCCGTCTCTACCTCATGGCCCTCTGCGTGATCATCTTCCCATTGGGTATGTGGCTGTTCGGTATCGGCTCAGCGCATGGTTGGGACTGGCCTGTTCCCTACGTCGCGCTGGGCTTTATCGGCTTCGGATACGGTTGCGCTGGTGATCTGAGCATCACGTACCTAGCTGACAGCTACCCCGACATGGTTCTCGAGGGTATGGTTGGTGTCGCTGTCATCAACAACACTCTCGCCACTATCTTCACATTCGTGTGCAGCTACTGGATTGACACCGGTCTACAGAACACCTTCATCGAGCTTGGTATTCTTAGCTTCGTCATCATCATGTCGTCGTTGCCCATGGCTATTTGGGGCAAGGCGTCGCGTCGCTGGACTTTGGAGCGCTATGCCAACTTCTTGCGCATTCGCGATGGTATGGACGGGTGAAAGGAGGATAGGTATCATTCCTTTTCCTTGGGCAGACCTAGTGGTCTGAATCGACAGATTGTATTGATGATCAGAGTTATGGCTTGCTAATAGTTCAAGCTTGCTCTCGTGTAACAGATTTGAGTCTAGGATGCTTCGCTGAAGTGAAGCGTCATTATTTGTATTCTCCAGATATTGGGTTATCTATGCTTCATGAGTATTGACCCCGTTAATTAACATTTTGCTCTATGAATTGTTGTCCTGTTCCTCAACGACTCCGTACCGCCAATCCACTTGTTGGTTGCAGACCCTATGCCATCCATTGCCCGCGACTCCCCGCCCTAGTAACATCAACTCGTCAAGACCCCCTGACTGTGACTCGGCCCTATCCTGTTCTCTCTTCCGTCCGTGACAGCCTTACCCATTCAGTATATCAGCTCCCCTCAAAAGACCCTTAATCCAGCTGAAATCCCAATCTGGAACTCGTGGACCAAGACTTTAAATAGTCTCCCCCTTATTTTCCACTTCTATTCCCGAAACTATCACGAGGCCCGACAAACATTGGAAAAGGCCGTTTGACCTTCCCTTTCATGGATCTCAGCTTGTGCTTAGTGCGATCTAGATCACCTCGTTAACGGCTCATGCCCCTTTGACGGTTGGGTCTGTGGCGTTTAGGGTATCTGACTAGGAGCTGCCAACGGTGCGCTAGTTGTAGATAACGCGGGAAATTGATCAATGATGGCGATAAACTCGTGGTGCTAGGCTTTCTTTTTATTAAAACCGTTTTGCTTGCTTATCGGTGTGGTAGGGCTTTCAGGGGGAGGGCATGTTTGGAGCGGAGTTGGGATGCTGGTGTGCTGAAGAGGTTGTTATATAAACGGCACCTTAATATCACATTTCCTCATCATTCTCAGTACATTCTTCACTCAACTCTGCTACAAAATACTGAATCAAGCTTCCTAACTTTCTCTGCCAAAATACCACAATACCTTCACCATGAAGTTCACTCTCATCGCCGCTCTCATTGCCCCTGTCCTGGCCGTCAACGTTCCTAAGGAACTCCAGGAGCGCTCTGGCTGCGGTGATAACTGTGCCCGAGCCGTTGTCCCTGGCTTCCGTGGCCCTGCTGTCGTTGCTTCATACAAGGCCGAGTGTGAAGCCTATCTCCAGGTTACTACTACTCCTGATGCAAGGTAAGTTACAGGCACTTAATCCTCATCGGGCCTTTGACTAATAACATCAAGCACTGTTTATGTAACCAAGTCTATTCCTACCTATGCCAGTGCTTGCTCTGGAGAGCCTCGCTATCTTACGGCTTGCTCTTGTGCTAGTGCCTCTGTTGTTACCGTTGCGGCGCCTACTCCCACCGTTACCAAGGTTGTCTATGTTTAACCTATTTCCAGCATACCGGGTTTCTTAGATCCCCAACACGGGATGTATTGCAGAGATAGGGCGGCATTGAGTTCGACATGATCAGGGTATGACTTGGATCCAAGGTGTCAGGGAGCTCGACGATTGGTAACATGTAAACACGAGATAGTTTATCAAGGTCTTGAATACAAGCTTTCACAAATCGCCATTGAAGACTCGTAACCTTATATTTGGAAGATACATGTTCATAGTCAAGGCTGAGTCTCACCTCTGTTCCCTACTGGAGCCCAAAATTTGGTGATTCACTATTTATGAAGTTCCACATAGTCTGGCCGCTATCTAAACTATCTGGGCACCTAACTACATGGCCCGGAAGTTGCGGGCTTAGTCAGTGTAGCGGTCAAGCTTAAGGAAAAAGCTAAATTGACTAGTGAGGGGGTATAGATTTCACGATACACGAGAATGCTTCTAAGTTCTTTCACATTATAACAGCTACGAGCACAAGAGAAGAGAAAATCAATAAACCATAAATTTAGAAATGCCTTCAGATCTTCAGCTCTCGCAAGAAGATGCCGTGGCTTGGCTGCTTGAAGTAGGTGTATCTTTTGTATCTTTTGCACCCTGAACGCTGTTGATATTGACACATTTCTCTTAACAGAACAATACTTATAGTGCCAAAATGGATGTAGACGTATGGCTTGATAAGTTCTATACAGCAGATGCCACAATCCAATACGCGAATAGTCCGGCGCGCTCCGTTATGGATGCTAGACAAGTAGACTACACAAACCAGAATCTGTTTCCTTTGACATACTGATGGTATCCAGATGTTCAAAGCTATATGGGCCAAGTTCGATGGATTAGAACATGATATTGTCCATGTTGGTAAGTTATTACACATCACTAGTTCTCCAACAACTCTCTCACAAGCCTAGATTATGTGAGCCCCTGCATCTATCATCGTTGTGATGTTCGGTATCTTGTTAAGGGAGATGATCCCAAAACGCAAGAAATCAAAGTTCCAGCACTCGCTACGATGTTGATGAAGAGGGACGATGATGGAAGCTTAAAGTCGTATAAGATGGAGGTTTTTATAGATCCCTCGCCTGTATTTGCACGCATTTCCGAGAAAGGTCTATGAAACTTGAAAACTTTAGTATTCCTAGCAATAGTCAACTCGTTAGAATTGAATGAAGACTATCTGCAGGTAATTGTGCTCTTTGTGATTGTTGTCCAAGATCCATCAACATTTAGGCGCTGGTAAGCCAATTCTTTCACAACCTTGTTATCAAAAGACAGGAAAAACGAACCATCATGCCCATCAGCTGTCACAGACGTTGGAGCTTTATCTCCAGGCAGTGCAACAACCCTATTCGTTCGTTCACGAATATCAAAAGGTGCACATCGCTTGGTTTCAACACGAACGTGATATTCATGCCCTCTCTTGTTGTTCAAAAAGTGCAAAATAGAGCATTTTGCGAACATCTTGATGGGATACGTGTTCTTTGGCAAAGGCTGATCAAGTGGTGTAAGACTCATGCGTAAAGCATCCTTACTTCCAAAGTCAACAGCACTTGGATTGAGATGCAATCGAGTTGTGTAAATGGAACGATCACGGTCCGTGCTGTTGCGGGCATGGTGCACATAAAACAGCTCAGAACCGATAGGTGTTCGATGCGTAACCTCCTGAGCACCGATTATCTTGCTATTCTTACCAGGTGAAGCAACGATGCTACCATGGCCAGTTGAGTAGATTGGAATCTCGCTATCAGAGTCTTGCGAAAGGATAGGATTGTTGGCAGATTTTCGGAATGGGCCAAATGGAGATTTTGCAGTTGCGAAGCCGACACCGTAGTTTGATGCTTCGTAGTTATTGGCGCTGTATAATAGAAGATAAACAGGTTTTGCATCATGTTTGCCAGGTCTCGTGATGATAGTGCTCCCTTCAGCCCAACGACGATCTTTCTTCGTGCCATTGAACCGTCGATAGTCGTCAACATGGAAGTTCTCCCAATCTTGCGGATCAGCGCCGTAGGAAATTACAGTCTTCCAGCCGTCTTTGCGAGGTGGTGATCCGATCTCACCAGTGCCGTTGTAAGCGGTGATGTTAGAGGGAAGTTTTGGAGCATTCGGAGCATGAAAGTTCCTTTGCGTGGCGATGATTTGTGGCATGGTTAATGCATTTGGATCGTCCCACCAAGCGCGTTCCATCTCGACCACGATGATATTCGACTCCTCGATGTACTTGCCCAGCTTTCTATCCCAATTCCAGTTTCGGTACGCATTCCGTGAGAGATACAGATAAATGCGCTTATCCGTGTCAAAGAAGATATTGACATCAATGGTGGGGATATATGTTCCCTTCGGCGCTGCCTGACCCTCTGCAAGGCTCTGCGGTGGCAGCATCTGCTTCTCGTCCATAATGAGGTTGACATCGTGATAGTCGGGATCGAACGGGTAGTATTCAATCGGCTTAGGCTCAATTTCCCTAAACGGTCCCGTCGGATAACGAGAGACAGCCACGCCAATCTTGGACGGCTCTTCAAAGTCCGAGTATCGGAAGTAATCCTTGGTCAAGTCCTCCCGTAACCGGCCGGCGAAGAAGAAAAAGTACCACCCGGTTTGCTCATTGTAGTATATCTCGGGAGCCCAGTACCAGTCACGCGCCCAACAGGCCTGGCCACCTTCGATGGGGTTCATGTCATCATCGTAGCACGCTTTCAGAACGCCACCGGGATATTTGTGCCAAGTTGACAGATCAGGACTGCTGTAAATGGCGAAGAGACTTCCTGGATCTGCTCCCTCTGTAGAATAGGCATAATATTGATTTGTTTTGTAGTCCCACATCACATAAGGATCGGCGCCGGGGTGATTTGCCGAATTGTGAAACTGTGGCGGCTTTGAAGCCACTGAGGATGCGCAAAGGCACGCGATGATACTTGAAACCTTCATTTTTCCAGGCGCATCATGATAAGATTATGCGGGAAAGAAGCGGAGATTGCAATTGACGACGGGTTTATAAACTATCTTGTTCTTGATGTCATTGTCTTTCCCCTCTTTACTATGTAACCTAAAACCTGCATCGGTCCGAGCAGGAGTGTCATCCTTGGTCGACCTCGGTGTAATACAGCGCGAGTCTTTATGACTATCTTCTGAAGCCATCATCAGCTAGAAACAACAGGTGTCCTGTGGTTCTGAACCGTTGAAAATTTCAGCGACTGAATTGAATTCAACGGCAAAGCAATTAAGCGGTGACACTCCCATGCAACCCCAAAGACCAGGTTGATCGAGTGATGGACCGGCATTCCAGTATCAACATCATGACGTTTTATTCTCCACACAAGCGCAAATAGCCTAAATTCTGGGGCCGTGCCTAGTCTGCGCAACCGAGTTACACTTCTCGCACGAGTCAAGGTCAAGGTGAATGGCATTCATCGTGGGAGGCTTGCATATGTTCCGTGGTGTTCTCGCCGTTGTCCTCGTGTTTGTGGCGGTGGCCCAGTCTTTGACAAGTAAACTCTAAGTATCACATTCCGACAATCAGGTTTCTACGATGGTGAGAGTTCATGGTCCTTTTGTTAGGCTGGCTGGGAAACGAATTAGGTTCGGCCAAGACTAGGTTGCGAGATTTTGAAAAGCTGGAAGAGATTGGTGATGGTGTTGAGTGATACGGAAGAAGGGATATTCTGAGATCACATTTCCGATCTTATGGGTCAACTAAGTCCGGGTAGATGTCCCGTCCGCCGAGCGCATCTGAGACATCCCGTCCGATCGCAGACTACCATCTGAGGATCGATATCTGTCTCAGTCATGAAGCTCAGCCAGCCGTGAAACTGGCAACAATGATCCAGAATCTCTTGGACCTTGGCAGTCACGCAAACACAATCCTATTCTTAGCACCGCAGCATGGCAATCCTTAATCTTCCGATAATAACTTTTCCCTCACAATCTCTGGAATGACGATTCAAATAGTTCCAGCTCCCTCTAACGTAAGCCCATGGCTGAGGAGCTTGGGCCAGAGGGATACATCATCACCCGTTCAACCACTGTAGCTGCAGTTATACGGACCGGTCCGCATTCCAGGCTTTCTGTTATCATGATGATGAGGAGAATTTGTGATCATTGTGGCTTCAACTGAAACCAAACGGGCTTGTAGGACCAAGAAAACCAAGATTTGAATGAAAACAAATAACGATATCAGTGCCTTGCATGAACGAAAAACCAAGAAATTCAAAAGTGAATTGGCGAGTTGGTATGGATCTGCAAGACTATCACTCGTTGTTTGTCCCGCATAGTCCGCATTTGGTATCGTGTCAGTTGACTCTCACAAACTCTACGTAGCCCCAAGACGAGGCTGAACGTTTTCGGACTGTAGCTGACGCGGTTGAGCTTTTGATTGGCGATTAGGATATTAAGTTTGCCGAGTGAGGCTTTGTATCAGCCCCAAAACCAACAGTTCTATGATGCTCAGTTACGGCCTACGATCGGGTGATTTTCCAAGCCGGAGTGTATACGGTAGAATTCGCTCATGTTGTGGTCAGAGGGGGTGCCAGTGAGAATTATAAAGTCAGGGGCCGTATCTTTGCAAAATCAAGTGTTTCAAAGTAACTCAAGTGAAGACTGCAGTACCTTGAGAAAGCAGCAAACATGTCTTCGTTTCAGATTCTGTCTCTTATCACGGCAGCTACTTCTGTTGTAGCACTCTCTGGGACACCAAATATCTACGCTGGTAGCCGCCGAGGCTCATGCTATGATGATGCTGCAGCTGAAGAGACCTGCTGCTATTCCTCACCTGCGAGGGTGGTTGAGACTCAAGTCTGGGATACACGACCAGTCACTGGGCCTTTAGGTGAGTCTCTGTCCCCAGTATAAGCAAATCAGCTGTGTCTAACTTCTTTTTCAGACTCCTGGACTGTTGGTGGACTCTGGCCAATCCACAATGACGGCTCCCTCCCTACCCACTGCGACACCAACCGCACATACACAAACATCACACAGATCCTCTACCATGCCGGCGCTGAAGATACCATCGACGATATGAACAAACTCTGGGAGTCACCTGATGGCGATAACGATGAGCTCTGGCAAGATCAATGGGTCAAGCATGGCACATGCTTCAGCACCTTGAGCCCGGAGTGCTTCAGCCACTATGAAGTCTCCGAAGAAGCAGCCCCTTACTTCCAAAAAGCCATGTCTCTCCACAAGAGGCTACCGACTTATGAGTGGCTTCGTAAAGACGGCATTATTCCTTCATACTCCATGTTTTATCGGCTCTCAGACATCCAAGATACACTTGAGGATCATCATGGCTCCCGCGTGTCACTCCGCTGCGCTGGACAAAGAATAAGGGAGATTGGGTACCACTTCAATGTTACAGGCACTCTACAAGATGGCGTCTTTACTGACTCTGGTGCTTTCGGCGATTTGGGAGATTGTCCAGAGCTGGTGCTGTATGAGCCAAAGGGTGAGACCAAGAAGGCAATCTTTAACTTTGAAACGTTTCATCCGCATACCGCTGCGGACGTGGAGGACCTTTAGCTTAGTTCATCAGAATACTTCACCCTAGCTTAGACAACATTTTAATAAATTACGTATGTGAATACATACTTTACTTGAAACTAATAGCCATCCAAATACCGTTTGCCAGTTCTCGGTTGTTCTTTTTGACGTGATCTGCCAAGGACATAGTCCAAGAAGACGGGCAACTTCTTGCCTTCGTCAAGACTTGTTCCGCCCAAAGGGCAGGCTTTGCAGTTGATCGAGTATATAGATATAAGTTAAATATGGGGCGCTTCATATCAGATTGACGGAATGTGGGCAATAAAGGCCAGCTCAGCTACTCAATCCAGAGCAAACATACCCCAGTTTACAATATCTCCGAAACATCACCGTCGGATTATCGGCCTGCTCAGTCAAATATCTCCACCAGTCACAACCTCAAAACCCGTTGTTTCACCCAAACAACGCTGACAGACCCAGATAATATCCATGCATGTTTTAAGACGCGTATAAATACGACAGCTGTCGTTGAGCTTGAGCCACTCTATCCTTGCTAGAATTGGCCAAGGGGCGAGCGCTCCACCAAGAGAATCATGGATATCTCCACTATGGCATGTTTCGAAAACACGTCTTCAATTTCTTTGAAACAAAGGAGAGAAAATGTCGTATATAAGGTCTTTGAATATCTTCTGGCTTCGGGCTTATCTTGACACCGCCAGACTATCAATCTCTTGTCGCCAAGACCTCGAATCTCAAATCATCCATCATGTATCCTCTCACTACACTAGCTTCAGTCCTTGCCATTGCAGGCGCTGTTACTGCTACTCTCGAGCCTGCACAGAGCAACACCGAGGGCAAATACCCCAAGAGCCCATCATGCTCTCGTACGTCAACCTCATCCCTGTTGAGATCCTAGACTAACGCTACAGCCAGCATCGAAGACCTCAAACGCCATCCAGGCCGCTGAGTGCGCCTACAACACCCGCGTCTCTGGCCAGCAGACCTTTGCCATCTTCAAGGTCGATCACCAGTATGATGCCAACAACGGCGCTCCTTACGGCACCTGTGAAGCTTATGAATGCGATGCTCCCACTTCCGACGAGCTCACTGCTGATGCGGATTACTGGACCTTTTTCTGGAAGTAAGTGTTGTAAAATAAATATTTATGGTGCAGATCTGACGATTAATAGCGACAATGGAGAGTCTTCTGGAGTTGGTACAACCTGTATCAAAGATCCCAACGACGGAACATGTGGCTGTGAGAACTCTGACGGTACTTTTGTGCATGGCGGAACGAACTGCAAATAGACTGTGAATCCCGAAGCAAGACTCACATCGCTAGGATGTTTGAAGTATCGTCTTGAACCGATAAAGAGTTCAGAAACATCTTAGTTTATACGCTGTCCATTAATAAATGATATATAAGCCTCTTTTCAGAATCTTTTATGGATACAAAGGCTCCAAGTGCGCACCGCTGCAGTGAATGGCCAGTGGACAAGGATGCGGAAGGCCAATGGTTCACTTGAGTGGGGGCCTAGTCCCTAATGTGGCATGTCTTTCGTAAAAGGAAAATATATTGCAAGACTCCGAATGTCATTTTTACATACACATAACAAACTCTAATGCTTCAAAGCATCGGGCTGTACGGCCTATCAACGTTGACAGTTTCAGCATTTGGACTAGCTTTAGGGTAGTTGAGTCAGACTGGGCACCATCGGCGAACAGCTACCTCGACATGGCATTCTTCTCGTCGAAATCAGCCTCATTGAAACCTGATCGTCGCACTTAACAGTTCTAAAACCAGCAGAGAAATGATCGATCTTTGCACAGACCCTTTCTTAAGCCTCCTGAACTAGCTAGTGTCGTGAGTGCCGTTTCATCTGCACCGGCTTCAATTAGAGGCCGATCACCCGGCCTGAATTTGCGGGGGAGTAAGTGATGGAACTAATTAGGTAGCTTCAGGGTCGTCTCAGGGTCGCCAATTGCGCTTGATGCCACGACTTGCAATTGCCACAGCTCTAGAAATGTTATAGGACTCGTTCAGAGCTCATTCGATCTCATTGAAATCCTTTCGCAAGGGTCACGCTGGAAATACTCTTCACCAAACCCAAGCCAAATTGAGCGGTGTCAGGCCATGAGGCGCTTCAACACTCAACCCTAACTAGTTCAGCCATCAGCCGCCAAAACCTGCATCTGCAGTCCAGCTGACATTTCAACTCTGGCCCCCCCAAATACTCGAGTCCATTAGTGTCGATTCCAGCACCAGGATAAGCGATAATTCGAGTGATCGCCTCAGGGGATAAAGTCGACTTCTCAGTTTGGGGTCATGGGTCTCGGCACGAGCCGCACTCGATTCGTCTCTATCCTGACTCAGCTACTGCGCAGCGCGGCAAAGCTGAAAGCAGTATCCTCATCGCAATGGAAGATCCCAATCTTTTGGTTGTGCTAACGGCAGCTGTGGCTTGACGATCCGGTTGCTAGCGGGGAGGGATTATCCTTAGGAAAGCGGGTGACGAACCGAGTCGTTGGGAGGACAGATGACCTGCGCCCACCATAACCCTAATTACGTTACTTTTCTTTTCTTTTCTTTTTCATGTGAATGTTGATAGGTGATATGCCCTAGGCGGTGAGAAGAGTGGCTTCGTAGGCGAAATGAAGATGCCACGATACGAGAGATGTCCTTGAAGAGAACGTATAGAGTTTGAGTGATGTCGACCGCTCGAATATGAGGGGTCAAAGAGGCTGGATTGCCACGAAATGAATCAATTCACTACAATGCAATTGGACGCACTCCAGACACTGCTCCCTCAAACTCTCCCTGCTTGACTCGTTCAAAAGTCTCAGCCTCACAACATCACCGCCGATCTGCAGCCACTCACGACCACCAATTGGTTGATGCGCAACCCTTTGATCGATGTGTCACTTACCAGCCAGCGCAGAACGTCACTTGGCACGCAGATCTTGTTACCCAATGTTCCAAGAAAAGCAGCGCATAGCAAAGCAAAGCCACAAGCACGACTCGGACTACAGTGCTGTACAGCACACGAGAGCACGGTTCTTAACGGCTGACGGCAGTGAAGACGCCTCTTTCGGTCTGGAATCTGCCGGGGCGCGGGGAAAGGTTGGAACTACTTTGGAGATTAGGGGCGAAAAGAGGCACTCTTAAGGTTCTCCCCATTGGCTGATGCTACAGTAGACGGTACTTGTTCGCACTCAGACATTGCTGATCGAGTTACGTCAATGATACATTATTGAGCCGACGTGCATGAAGAGGCTTCACTTAGCATCTCAACAACTCCCAATCATTAGCCCGCCGCTACATATCACCCTGCATGTGCCCTCGGCCAAGTCTTTGCTTTTCTCACCTCTAGTCCATGATGTCCTTCTGCTAATTTTTCCTTCTCCCTCTTATGCATCTCCAATTCCTCAAACCATGGAAAACAACACCCGAGATATCACGCCCAAATGATTTCCCATCTGACATGCCATGTTAACCCTCCTCTCTCCCCACTACAAGGCCCAGGAGGTTACAAGAGGTGACCTTGTCATCGCCTCGACGGCGTTCGGCTTCACGCTTGGTTTTGGATGGTTGACTGTCTTCAAGGCCATCAGGCAGACCTGGCAGGTGTATCAGCGCCATGGCCGGCGGGTGTTTCGAAATGCGTATATTATCATGGTCTGGGGGGAGTTGACGGTCTGTACGATCTTTATGGTTATCTGTATCTTGCATTTACTGGACGTTATACCCCCAAGGTGAGTTGTCGCATATTGGGCAATGAGAATGTTCACTGACACCAACTACAGCTTTGCATTTTATTTCACAATTCGTAAGTTGCCAGTCTCTTTAACATGAGTTTAACTGACCGCTTCTCAGTTACGACATGGGCTCTTCAGGTACGAATTTCAAAGACATGCGCGCGAACCGCCAAAACTAACGGTCTCCCGATAGGTCCAATTCCTTCTCCAAATCATCGTCAACCGATGCGGCATCCTCCTCACCAACAAAAAGAAAGCCTACCGCCTCAAGGTCCTCATCGGCACACTTATAACGGCCGTTAATATTTCCGTCTACTGCATATGGATTCCGGCGCGATTGCAAGTATCAGAACGATATATCCACATCAACGAATGGTGGGACCGATGCGAAAAGGTCATCTATCTCATTGTTGACGGCTGTCTGAATTTCTATTTTATCCACATCGTTCGCAAAAATCTTATTATTCACGGCCTTACGAAGTATAAGAGGTTGACGCATTTTAACATGTTTATCATTGGGTTTTCCTTGAGCATGGATGTTCTTATTATCGCCATGATGAGTTTACGAAATACCTTTGTGTATGCCCTTGACTCCAAGTCCCCGACTTACTTCTGAGCATGCTAACTGTTCACAGATACATGCAGTTTCATCCACTAGCATACACTGTAAAATTACACATCGAAATGTCCATGGCGGATCTCATAGGGAAGATCGCCCGCGACAAGCATTGCGGCATCATAGCCGACGGCACATTCTCGAGTAGGCTTAGCAACGGGACATATCATCTAGAAGATATTCAAGGTTTAGACAGCCAAACGAGACTGGCAGAACGAGGCGACAGAGGAAGTGTTTCGAAGCCCAGACGCATGTTTCGTTCTTATTCGCGGCGGACTGGGGAATATGACAGAGACGACTATCCAGAACCGTGTTGATAACGATATCCAACTAGCCAGAATATAAGAATACGTTGAACATAATTCTATACAAGACTCCTATTTTTGCAAAGAGCACTGGATGAAGATAAAGTAAGTCATTTGCCTTGATCGTTGTCTAATCATCCTAGTGAACAACAGCTCTGAATTTGCAACTCTCAACCTAATAAGTCTCGATAGAGTCAATATCCAACTCCTCATTCCTTCGTCTAATAAGCAGCTTAGCCTGGAGATCAGGCAAATAAGCCATTCCAAAACCTGACGGCTTAGGAACCACGCCATCCGCCAGCTTCCAATCATACTTCAAAAGCATATGACACAACGCGATCTTGATCTCATTCGCCGCAAAGAACCGCCCAGGGCACGCATGGTTCCCATGACCAAAGCCCAGGTGGTCAAAGCTAGTGCTGACAAGATGAGGGTGCTTGTCTTGCTCAGATGCCTCCCGCATTCGCAGGAAACGATAGCCATCGAATTTTGCAGCTTCTTCATAGTAATCGCCGTTCCACATGTGAGTCGTATCGCAGACAATCTTTTCTCCTTTCTTGATCACATCGCCATTTGGAAGAGTGATGTCTGCCATAGCCTGCCTTCGGAAGGAGCCTTGAAAAGTGGTTAGACGCAAGATGTAGATTGAAGAATGCTTGGTGATATACTTACCGAGTAAGACTGGTCGTAATCTCTGAGACTCTTTGATGACACTATCCATGAGCTTCAGATTGTAAAGGGCTGTCTTCTTGAGTCCCTCTGCAGTCAACACATTCGTGATCTCTTCGCGAAGAGGCTGGAATAAATCAGGATGCTGGGCAATGTTGAAAAGGGTTTCCATAAGCAAATCGGACGTTGTGTGGATAGCCACGAGTGATAATGAGATTTGTAGGAGTGCTGGGTCACGTGTGGAGCCTTCTTTCTTGTACCATTCAATCGAATCGTCGAAAGGCGAGGGCTTTCCCTGTGCTTTGGCCTTTGCTGAGATAACACTGCGATGCTCAAGATGAGGCTTTAGACATTGGATTGCTTCGTCCAATTTCTTGCGCAGCGTCCAGCATGACGGGAGGAACCAATGCACAAACGGTCGTGACCATCGAGGATACGTTCGCAGAATGTCGCCCGTCTTGAAGGACTGGACGGTATAGTCACCGCTGGCTCTGACCCATTCGTCGTCGCGGCAGAGGGTCTCCCCCATGAAGACTCGTGATGACATACGCGATACGATACGGACGATATCATTTTGAGGGTGCATTTCATGCCATTCTACAACGCGCGGCAAGATTAATCTATATTCGACACTCAAAGTATTTGTGGAGGCTACTTACCAGTGGAGTCTGTAAGAACTTGTCGAAAGGCCAGAGATGCCTCGTCAGAGAGCGGTGCCGTGAGCTTCGCTGAGCCAAAAGAGTCAGTATCTCATAGGCCAAAGATGAACAGGAAACTAACTTAAAGCTTTGGTCAGGTATTTGGTCACAACTTTCGAAATGCTTGGGTCAGAAACAAAAGGCTCAAATCCGGGCACATATGCGTGAGTGTCCTGTTGAAAGTCAGTAACTGTGATTATCGAGCCACTATGAGAAGTGAAACGTACATCTTGAGCTGGTATTGAAAAGTCCAGCTGCTTGTGGCTCTTCAGCGCATCGACAAACTCGGGTGGAATCACGATTACTTTTCCCCAGTCTGTGTAGGCTCTGTACGGCTGGTTCTTATATAAAGCTCTGCCATTTGTGAGAATATTCTTGCTGTCGACAATGAAGTCCTGAGTTACACGGTTGCTGGTAAGCTCGAGTGACTTTTTCGGATTCAAGACCGGGAACTTTGTAACATGGCCGAGTAAAGAGTATCTTATGAGGAAGAGAGTGAACAAAGTGACACCACAGAAGATGGCATACTGGGGATTGCCCAGAAGGAGATCCAGATAGGACGACATGAGAGATGATTGCTGAACTCTTGGACTGTCCTATCCTGAGCTTGATGAACAGATATTCCGCTCACGATGTGTAAATTATATACTTCGAGATCCGATATACGATCGACAGAACTGAATCTGTAGTAGCGTAGATGATCTGCAGTTAGTGCCGTCCGAAGGCCCGAAGCTCATATGACGGGGACCTTCATGGGCCCGACCCCGAGCATGTTCTCGACTACCGACGCATATCAAGTGGATATTTCGTAAAGACTTGGCGAAATTTCTCTGTGAAACAGACTCGCTCTGGTTGAATGACTCGCTTCAGTGGGTGATGTAACGGTATCGACGCGTCTGCATGCAATGCGGTGGAGAGGGGAGCATCTTGATCAGGACAGGTTATGTGCACGGGCATGGCCGTTGTGGACCCGTCGTATTCGTTTGGCGACGATCGACCATTCTGGAGCAGTTCACGAGTACTCACTGATTATATACGATAATTCAAGGTGCCTTGCTCTGCAAATAGTCCCGTTTTGGTTGGCTACCCAAGACTTGTCTCGGTTACAGCCTGCATCTGAGCGTCTATATCTGCAAGTCTCGCGGACTTCATGTACAACCCGAGCCATTCACAAATGCTGGTTCTGTGGATAATTGTTCGGGTTTTGAAACAGAAGAAGTCCGAGGTGTTGATGCCAGTCTCCTGACGCTTCGTGTTGTCAAGGTCTACCCAGTGACATGAAGCTTACGATATAGCTAAGCGAGAAATATTGAGATAATGGGAGAAGAACCGAACTACGCCAAGACCGGCAGTTGACTCAAAATTATCACAGGTTAGGTCCACAGTAGCAGCAAAACGATTCGGCCAGTTGATTTTTAAGAACGGCTAATCTACCCTCTGATACTGCTTATAGCCGGTGACTTCATACTGGATGAGGAGAATAGACACCGGCCTCTGTAACTTCACATGAAAAAGAAAACGAACTCTCAAATACCCCGCTCTGCAGTCCTGTGAACCCTGCCGAGTTGGTACCTCATTGCACCACTGTATCTATCATTAGCCTCCCAGTTCCTAACTCAACCTTTTGATTATCTCTGCCACGAGTTAGGGCTTTCTGAACAATCCGGCACCGAAGATTTGCCACGGATTGGCAAAGCTTGTTGATCAATATCTTTCTCATGATGAGTCTCGGGACCTTATTCTCATGGGATTCTTGGATCCCCTGCAGCGGGTAGAACATCTATTAGCACATTTCTTGCAAGGGTGATCCTACATACCACAGCTCATGACTCATTAGCCTGGCTTCTCGTTCTTGAAGACCACACAACTACGGCAGTGACTGCGTAGAGAGACTGTAGTTAAATTCAGCAGGCAGGCTGCGTAGACTTGAACCGTATATACTCACCCCGCATATGTAGTAAGGAACGCCTCCTACTAGAAACGGCAGATCTTCCTTGATGCTCCATTGATAGATCGGGTATAATACACCAATCCCCAGCAATGTTCCGGCACTCTCAATCGATGCCAAGGTCATCATGACAGTTCCAGCATCGGAGCTGCTGAAGCCACGCGACCCAAAGGCAATCAGGCTCACATCAGTTGCAACGCCGAGAGTATTTATCACAAGGGCTTAGAATTGGTCTCAGAAAGTGACATCTTTAGTTTCTTGGTACGACATACCTGCTGTGATGGAACGTAGAGAACCTGATAGGCCTATCATAAAGGCACCAATCGAGATAAATAAAACGCTGATTCGGGCGGCGTGAAGGTTGATACTGTTAGGATACGAGACCACCGGTGCAGAGTGCAGAACAATGCCCGGTAGGATGATGCCAAAGATGACAACGCTCATGACACTACGGAGAAGCCACAAACCCTCAGCCTACATGTAAAATCAAGGTAAGTAATCTTCCGCTTGAAATAGATATAGCACTTCGTATACATACCTCGGAAGGACTAACATCGTCTCTGTGCTGAATGTAGGTTTTGAAAAGTGGCCGAGTTGATTTGCAAATAGCCATGAGGAAAAAGACTTCTGGCAGAAATATGAGACTCGAAGTTCTGAGGAGAGACTTCTTGCCAAAGCATCTAGACAAATACTCTGTAACCGATATGCTGAGTCTCTTAGGCTCAGCGTCGCTTTGGTGGTTAGGCAGCAAGGAAGTGGACTCATCATGACTAGAATTATTGCTCTCACAAGCCGTAGACTTCAGTGAATCAACAATCCCAAAGCCTATGAGACAAAAGCTTCCAGACAGTATCCCGGGCAAGAAGTGACTGGAATCAGCAAGGATAGAGGCAAAGAATGGACCGAAAGATTGGGCCACGACTGAAACAGCTCCTGTGCAGTAGTAGCTTGCGAACCTGAGAAACCATTAGTATAAAAACATGACCATAGGGGTGTGAAGGATGAGGGGGCAGACCTGTAGTGAATGGGGGCCTGATCATGAAGTATGGCAAGTATGAGAAATGCCGAGGCATGAGATCCTCCACCGATGCATCTTACTAGAGGGCTTACGATGGCAACCAAGATAGGCCATTGATGTTCGTAACATACTATTACTATTATTAGTTTTGAGTTTGCGGGAATTGCCTGCTTGGTAACCGCATACAGCTCAACAATGTGACGAGACTGGCGACAAGAATACTCGTGGCGTTAAGATTCATGGCATGATGCTTAGACCTGGTGTTGAGAAAATAGCCAATCATAAATTGGCCTATAATATCTGTCCTTTATGTCAGTAAAGCCACATTTAGCTGGAAATATCGCTCGCTAAGCATGAAGCGCCAACTTACCGGATACGCCTTTGAGTACAAGAGCCGCAGTGCCTAGATTCCAACGGCCTGATTGGGTGTGAGCGTCATCGGCGAGAGCGGGGAGAAGACTGTCAGTGATGGAGTCGCCCAAGGTCATGAGACCCAAAAAGACCAACGCCAAGCAGGCGGATTTCGTATCAGACCGCATCATGTTTACAGGAGGGAGCTAGCGAGACGTGGAATCAATTGATCGCAAGGCATTCTTGCTTATTTACCGGGCGATAGCACTGATGTCAAAGAAAAGAGAGAAGAAGGAGGGAGATTTTATTGGGTAAAGACATCGGAAATGGGGAAGGCATATGAGGCCACCATTTCCCGGCAACGAGCGAACCAAAGGAGCTCGGGGAAGACAATGCCCAGAAGGATGTCACACCACAAGGATAACGGCTGCAGAGTGAACAATGCACCACGTTGTCCCATGTCACATTCAGATATGCAAGGGTGATGGAGGCAGACGAATCAGAGGGGCGAAGCCTATATCAGGCTGTGTTGGACTTCATACCTGCAGTTGAATTTCCGCAACCCAGTTCTTGATAACCTCCACCACGCAGCTTCAAAAAGGTCGGAAATACAATCGGAAAATATTAGAATATCTAGACTTTCTTACTTTCCGACGCTAAGAAGATACAACTCTAGACGGGCGAAGAGGATGAAGATGAATGGTGATATAATGGGAGTCGAGAAGCCCCCCCTTGCTGCTGTAAAAAAGAAATAATTCAAGTCATTTCTGAATCACCAACGCAACTGCACATACCTAACCGGTCAGAATACCGCCCTGTTACCTGATTTATCACAAAATGGGTGAGACAGCGGAATGTGTCAATAAAAAGGTCAGCGGCACGCACCCCCTTGTGTAGCCAGTCGTGCTGACCATTACAGCCTGATTCAAAGAGCTCAAAGGAGAATATCACACGCGTCGCGTTACACAGGTTGACGTTACTCTCGGAGCACGATACTCCAATCTCGATGTGGCTCCGACATCTCGATGACCCATACCCTTACAGCAGACGTGCAAACGCAAATGAGAGCATGCCAAAGGTGAAGCTGTGACAGGCTTTGTCTCACCATCCACCAACAGTCAGCTGAGGTACTGAGGTACTGAGGCCACCTTATGCGAAGAATGAAAGGACACGGCAGAGATTGTTAGCAAAGCAATTGCGTTGGGCTTGAGTTTATGGCAAAAAGATACCCAAGTCACGGAGTGCATAAACATTATATATGTCAGTGCCAGCAGCAAATTCTGCCTTGTCCCTGAGCTAAGATCGGTTACCCGCAGATCCGCCCGATAGTGTCGCAGCTTTACAGGGAACTTATGCGCAGGGGCGTAGGGCGTTTTGATGACAACGTATCATAGAGAGTGGCAAGGTTGGCGGATGTAGGAAATAATGAAGCGCAGCAATAGACTTTTCAGCACTGGCAATAAATGTTCATATATAGTTTGATAGTGGAGATATTCACAAACTAAAAATAGGATATGGTCTAACCCAAAATTAATCTCTTGGTGTAGTGGTAGTTCAAGCTCTCAACATCATCCCTTCGGAACTCATTTGGGGAGTCCAGTTCCCTCCTGTAGTCTGTTATCAGATTAGCACCCATCATTTCAGGTCCCCGGGGTAGTTTACTTACTGGACTGGTGATTCTGTAGGTCTTTCTGTATGCCCTCAATCAGTGATCGAGCATGCAAACTCTTACCCAGGAGTCCTTGATTTGAAGATTTTGTCCAGTCTATGGCAAATGGCGCATGCCCATTCGTCACAATACGGAAATATGTAGTCAACGTATCTGCGATATGTTTGTTCTGGCCGTAGTAGTCACACGGGTCCCTTCTCAAAGGCCAACGAGTCCCCCCTTCGCGGTTCTTCTCGTACTCCCAGGCGTGCATGTTCCATGAGTCTTTCTCGAGACTATGTAAGAGTATGAAAGTTGTTAAGAATATGGCGCACCAGTACGTGCTTCGTTCACGGCTGAGGATCATGTCTTGAAGTTGTTCAAGTATCTCTCGCTCTAGTTCATCCATTCGCATCTCAAAGGCCCTGTCAAGTTGTTGGTTGACAAGTCGTGGGAGTAGTGTCTTCCCAAACCAGCATCCTGGGATATCTAGTGAGTACATGCCGATCTCTGAGGCACCATTCACTATAGTCCAAGGATACTTGAAAAATACAGCCTGCATCGCCCAGAAGCGTAACGCAAGCCGTACCAAGCCGATCTACATTTTGAGTTAGTATAGGCTATCCACTCCAGAGTCCCTGAAGCAGTGTTACTCTCAACTTAGTCACGTACCCCTTCTATACTCGGTGATTCTTGAAGTCCTGCACATTGTGTCGTAGCAAACATAAGGATATGACTTGCCAGTCTATTCCTGTCCATTGCCTGTCTTCCTTCATCCAGTGCTAGATCGAATGCGAGACTATCGCAATAAGCATCGATCTTCTCCGGTCTCAGAGTACCATCCTCGAGAGAAAATGCCGTACTTTCAGCCCGCGGAGTAATCATGCCAGCTTCAGTCCCACGGAATAGAACGTGAGTGAGAGCAACGTGGCTGAAAGGGACGTATGGCTTTAACCTCACTTGCATTGCCGGTGTAAACCCGTTTGATATTTCAATGGTTACTGTCTTATAGCTTTCTACCGGGAGCCATTGATCGATGTTATCGAGTAAAGATTGGATCCGTGTTTGGTACAAGCCTATATCATCTTAGCACTGAACCTTCTGATAAACTTGATGACTGACTATGAAGTAGAGTTCGTGACCCTTTGAAGTCTGCGGGAACACAGAGCTCCCGGTACATAGATGACGCACAAGGCTGGCAAACTGTGGCCTTCCCATAGCACTTTGGCACTTGTAAGTTCTCTCCTATGCTTCGAGTGTTTCTCACCCACCTTTTTCTTCTGAATTTTGCAACGGGCACAGCTATCCCGTTCACTTGGTCTTCCTCGCCTAGCTCGCTTACCAGATGGCTTGGCCCTATTACCTTGCAGCAAGCGATCAGCTTGACTCACGGAACGCTTTGACGGAGGTTTGAGGCTTCTCTGGGGCCAAGAATCGTTGTGCTGTACTGGAGGAATCCCGAGTCTTTGTCCCACATGCCCAAGGTCTCTAGAGGCAGGACTAGCTGTAATAGTGCGTGTGCTTCCAGTCGCAGAAGATTCAACGGAATTTCCATCGGACCACGGCTCTTGGAAGGATGGACTGTTAGTAGGGAGAGTAATCGTTGCAGAGGAGGGACTTGGAATGGGCGCCTGCCATAGTGAAAAGGGACCATCATCATAGATGGCATTTCCGAAGTCTGGAACTTCCAGAGTCTGAACATCTTCGATACCAGGAGGCTGTTCATTCTGGAAGAACGCATCCAAGTCTGCCATATATGGGACATGGTGGTTCATAGAGCCGGCATTTTCAGAAAAGAAGAGTGAAGCTTCAGCGGCAGAAACAAAATTCTGGCAAATTATTAGTTCTATATTAACTAGGTCTAAGTGACACCTACATTGGACGTGTAAAAGTCTTGGGTCCCCTGCGCTATCAAGCTGCCTGTGAACCCGTCAAGCTTGGACCTTGCGAGACTCTGAATGGCTTCCCAGGCAAGGCTCTTGTCAATACCAGCGCCTCCATGTCTTGCTACAATCGATGCAACAGCTTCTTCAACGGCGCTGCCTAATTCAGCGGCGAAGCGGACATGGCCTCGGCGGGAATCGCCATTCGCGTGGCTGAATGGTTTAGTTCCATCGCGTACGTCACTCGCAGTGCGAGTATCCCCACCGGGACCGGAGATTATACTAGAGTTGGGTGAATAGTGATGTGACATGGCTAATCGATGGCAAGTGTGAATGAGAAAGTTGTGTGACGGTTAGACCAAGTCTAAGAAACTGCCTGTGAACGCTTCACACATGTCTTATTTTTGGTAGCACTGACTGTAGTCACAGAGTCCTCAGTGGTTTCCTGTAACATTTCTTTTTTCCATGTGATGCTCCTCAAGCGATTGACCGCCGAGAGACAGTGGAGGCGTGACAGTGTCAGGGTGGACGACCTACGGAGGCTGCTCACTTGCAGAACATGATCGAAACGGAGCACATCCTCCATTTGGTTGAGATTAAGGACATGTATGTCTCAAGACGGCTTATTGCATGTGATATGGCTGTTGCACATTGAATACGTTGGTAGCTGCAAGATGCCAGAATAAGCAATATGCTGTCTTGGTGTGTTACACAAGCCAGGATGAATCACATCACCTTTCCCAAGTGCCAGACCGGTTTTGAGGACCAAAGAAGGCCTGGAAAATTGGAGGCTCCTGTCTTATATCTGTTTTATTTAAGGTTTGAGCTCATCAATGCTAAAACGCCCCAGCAAGAGGACTATATCATGCGGAAAATGACAAACATCTAGACCCCAAACAATAATGATGCCGGCGTGCATATGTTGCCCGCTCCGAAACGAGGCTGTGCAAAGCCACTCAGCAAACGCTGACGTGGGCACATTTTCTGAAGTCGGTGTACAGGGGACGTTGCATGGATCAGCCTGGATTCAGGATAAATGGCTTGCCCATCCCTCCATCAGTATTTTGTACATGTATCCGCTAGCCCGAGTACCTCATCCTAAGTGAAGAAAATACTTAGGTCAATTTAGTGGGTATTTACAGGCCTTTAGGTCATCTTATTCTGGTACTTTAGTTCAACCTCGGAATCTTTCGTGCTCCCCGAGGATAAGATACATGCACCATACATAAATTGGTCTCAGAGCCCCATGACCCGAGGTAAAGCGGTCAAGTCACCTCCATCTCTGGCCACTTTCCTGGTCCCGGATATAATACATTCTCTAACTTGAGGCTCCGCATGGAGCTTGATGTCATACAAGTCATGGGTAGGGTAGGCCTCAAGTAAGGCATCGGATATAACTGATGGATATGAGTGGTTGGGTTACAGCATATAACCTGCAAGTTATTGATCAATGGTGGGGTCATTCTAAGAGTTGGATGGGCAAGTTCTGATGTACGTGAGATACAATGGATGCGATGAAGTTCAGGCTGAGAGCCTCATAGGATGGGGCCATAAAATATGATGTATCGAGGCCCTCGTTCTAACGCTATCGGAGAGTCTCGACATTAGCTAAACCGAATCAACTGCCAACTTCAGGGTTCCCAATAGTTCCAACGTTTTCTATTTGCACAATACCTTACCAACATGTGGCACATTGACGTATTCAACAGCTTGTCCACGCTGGGCGATTCCAACAAACTTCTTAGTGAACGTTTGGCCAAGCTTGGAGACAGAGCTGACCTGGCAGAACTGAGGTGAGGCCCTCCAGTTGACGTTTGACAGACCGCCTTTCTCATGATCAATGCAGAGATATCTTTCAACAGTTTGAGGTCACTGACACGGTTGGCCTTGCCCTTCTTCACAAACACTTCTCCATTGAAGAAGGTGAACGTGTTGTGGAATTTGGCCATGTTTCAACCCCATGGCCAGTTCCCCCAGATGGTAAAATGGCTGGAGGCTATCTAGTCCCACGGTCCTGGCGCTTTTGGGATGATATGCTGGAGCCATACGAGTTTGGCTTCAATCATCCTGGCCAAGAGGAGTACAAGGACGTCCCCTTGCCTTCTGGGTTTGTGGAAAGACTTCGTGCCTTTTTGGATGAGACAAATCTCTTGGATGTCTTGGGTATCTGTATCATTGGTGAAGATGAAATTGTTGGCCGCATCGAGAAGAATCGAGGTCGTGTCAACTTCACTGTACCTGCCTCGAGGCCTGAGGACCTAAGCGTTGATCTCACCCCGACCCACAGTCCCTCTGTATGGTCGTTCGATTGCAAGAGTGGTCTGAACGATTCCACAATCAAACTTGCACGGGCTTGCTGGGTCTGTCCAAAGCACGTATAACCGTGCTATGAGACGTATGAGTTTAGCTAGTTCGGGTAGCCAGAACATATCCAATCGAACGCGATATGATCCTCAATTCAGTTAAGAGGTGTTTGATGCTCATATAGAAATGTCTTGACACTTGTAACCTTTTGGTGTTATGTATCCGCTTTCCCCCTCACTATATCAGATTTTCGATGCAAGCCATACAAGGAGTCCAAGTACGAGGAAATACGATAGCTGATGCAACGTTAGCTCGCCACGACGTGGTTAAATGCTGACATGGGGTAACTCACTGCTGAAACCAAGAAAGGAAGCCCAATGTTGTAGTTGATGCCTAAAGAATAGGCAGCTCCCATGATGGGCATACCAATGAGGCTACCAATCGTCCCAGTCATCGAGATACCCGCGAATAACCGCCCTGAAAAGGCATTCTGCACATTAGAGGCAAGGAAGGATCGCAACGTGACGGTCATGCTTGATCCCAAGACCGATAGTGCAAATCCAAAAGCAACTGTCGCAAGGTTTGGTGCGGCTGCGACAATGAGAGTGCCCAATGTACAGCAAAAAGCACCAGATGCAGAGAGTGTAAGATCTCTGTTTGCACTTGGTAAACTCTTGTCTATCCAAGAAGTTGCAAGCGGCAAGATAACGAAGTATAGAAGGGACGACATGATTGCGCGTAGTGAGAACAGAAGTCCAGCCTGTGACAAAGTCAATTAACAGCATCGTTGTTAGGTGACCGAGCATACCCGGGCCATGGTCTCTCCAAAGTGTAAAGACACCCACGGGATCAAATAGTTCGTGGAGTCTCTTGCTGCCTGGAAGAAAAAGAAGCAGATAAAACATATACTGAGCATGACGGCTCGTGAGGGGAGCAGTTCTCCAGCAGTGTGCTCTAAATCAGTCTCTTCGCGATTCAAAGTGCTGTCGACACTGAGAAGTGACTCGGTTTCATCTTCTGATGACCCAACACCCTGCATATCGCTCACTGTATTCTCACGAATATAGCTCGTTGGAAAGAACATCAAAGAGAAGACCACGAGTGCGAGAGCAAACGGAATCCCGAGGTGAATGGTCATCGTCATTGCGCCAATGATTGGCCCGAGGAGGTCCGCAATCCCTGATATCGCCTCCATGATCGAGAACGCCGCTGTTCTATGACGGTCATGTCAGTTCTGGGGTTAGGAATGATGAGAATTGAGGCATGCCTTTGTTCCGGCTTGACACTGTCGCTAATGGCAGCGAAAACAAGCGTGCCAGTCACCCATGGTCCTCCTCCTAAGAGAACGAATACTGGTGAGAGATAGAAGCCCCAGAGCGGAAGGTTTTGTTGCGATCCTATCCAGATGAGTAGACTTACTTCAAGTGCATAAAGGGACGCCATACCTACTATTGCTATGCATCCCCAGTAGAAGATGGTACTGGTGGTGTTCAGCATAAAAGCAATCCGAAGGCCGCCTTTGTCCCCGAGGAGGCCCATGGGGACTTGCATCATCGTCGCTTTGCACCGTTAGTCGTTGTCTTGGAGGGCTATTGTGATTTTGCATACCAGCCAATGTCGACAGTGTTGACAGCACAGTTATCACGAATGCGAAATGCACTTGTACCTCGTTGCTCCTGCAAAACTCATCTGTTGGCTCTCCATTAAGAAGTTGTTTGTCCTTCTCAAAATGGTGCCGACAGACGGCTATCTCTAGAAGCATGGGCGAAGGGGCAGCAAGGATCGCACAACCGAGCTCCACGAGAAACAACAGAAGCGTGCAGAGCCAAAAGTTTATGGGATATTGTCGAAAGCCCCTCACGTATTCTATCGTCGAGATCGGTAGCGTACGCTTGCGGAGATGATATCCAGGTTTAATAGGCATTTTGTGATGATGGAACCTTGTCCTGGCGTGGCTGGCATTAAACGTTCGATTGTCGCGGTGAAGGTGATGGAGACAATTTTGTTGTAGGGCTTTGAGGGCGGGCCGCCCTTTAAAACATCTTACCTGCATGATAAGAGGAGTCACATCTATTATAAGAAGCTGGCGAATCACGCCGGAGTAGTAATCTGAAACATGTGCATGTGCATATGCATTCAGGCTGTAGTAGGCACGGATACATTGTCATCCAGGACTCCAGGCTGTAAGCAACAAGGTAGGATTGCGCGATGGGCTCTACAATTGTCATTCCCAATGATGTATGCAATATCCTGTCTACCTTTGGTGGCCCTTTAATATATGTCCAAAGACGCCCCTTTACCGCGATGGTAGGTCAAAGGTGACAGTGAAGTCCTTATATGACAAGACGTCATAAAGCGAATCAATTACGAATCCGAGCATTGTACATCACAGTGGTGTTAGTGAATCATGATAGTGAGTATTCAATCGCGGCAATCTGGGTATACAAGTTATTTTATCACCCTTGATATTCTACCGCACTAGGCTGAAGTAATATTCCTGATAGAAATGCAATAGTCTTTTAGGTTCTGTCTACTAACTGACGTCCAACAACGACTCTCTCCCGCGATGGTACCTGTAGATACTGAATTTTCGAAACAAGATAAACACATCACACATTACCCAAGGAATGGGAAGGGGAAGGGAAGGAACCGAGGAACGCAACAAGCTAGACCTGCTCTGAATAACCCCGTCGAACTGTAGGAATTGAAAAGGATGCACTTGCTCGTTTTGATAGGCATCAATATACCTAGGTACTTACCATCGTTCTCGCCGGTCCGCCTCTTCTTTTTCCTTTTCCCGTCTTTAGAGATATCACTATTACCCCTTCGTATTTATTGCTGTTCTTTACCTTTATGTGCTAAAGCCGCTTTCAACCTCTCAACCGTATCACAGAAACATCATCATGAAGAAAGTGTATGTCTATCTTGAACTCCTCCCGGCTCTGATTCAGGCATCCTCACCACTCTGATTCACAGATCACCACTTTGATTCACTATGCTAACTTGTATCCCTAGTTTATTCTACGAATTCAAATTCTCTTTCCGGGGCCAACAGCCCGACGACCCCAAAGCCCACCTCAACCGCCCGTCAAATTCTCCCCTTCCCAATGATGCGTCTCCTCCACCATGAGTCTCCTACCACCGGTAAGGGGCAGGCCAACAATGCCACGGCACATCCCCAGGAACTACACGGCCCTCCGTAAGTCCAGCTTTTCAATGAGGCCTCATTTAAAGTTTGATCTAAAGAGATGCTAACTGCCCTGCTTGTTTAGAACTACGGGGATGACTGCCGCCTATAAGGTTAACCTTTAGGCTATAAATATAGGTAATAAATAAGAATATAGTATTTTTTTCCTTAATATAAGCTTTTATCTAAAAGCTTTTATAATAACTATTATATCTCACTATAAGCCTTAAGGTATTATAAAAAGAAGAGATTAAAAGGTATATAAAGAGATATAACCTTAGGTTTATATCTCTATATATATATTATAATATAACTCTATAAATAGTATATTTACAGTAAACTAAACTATTATCAGTAAGGACTATATAAGCCAGGAGGCTTAAGTATATATCCACAGACTCCCCATCATATACCCTGCTTGTTTAGTATCTCAGTGGGAGCACCCTCAGGAATCGCCGTTCACCGCTCCTGGTAGCGGGAGTCGCGAGGAGGAATAGAATGCGGCAATCCACACATGTTGTGTTGGGGCGGTGGCAATGATCGGGGCAGTGCTGATGGGCACCTGATATATGGTGATTATCCAAGCGGTGAAGGTGTTTAATACATCTTTATAAACATCAATGTAACAGCGTCATGACACACCATTCTATTATTCGTTTGTGACTTAACCTTCTTCCCTTGCTTAAGTAAAATAAAGACTAAGTAAACTTAGAGTATCTTGGTACCTTACACCAGTTTGTTCTGGCCCCCTGATTTAACGTGAGAGGTTTTATTCCCAACCTGCATGACTGCTACATACAGAATGGTAAGCCGAGCAACAACAGCACTAACAAAAATAGCAGGAGTCTACAATCTCAAATTGTACCATCAAATCCTCACGCCGAAACCCATTGCTCTCTTGGATAGAGCACATAATGACAAGCAATCCGGTGCTCTCCACCATATGCACCACAAAATGCCAATAAAAGGCAGATATGATCGCTATAGACGTACATTACCAATCCGTCTTAAATTTCCTTTATCCTTTCACTGCCAAGTCCATAGCTGGTATATTGGTTATATAGCTTGGACCCAGTAACGACCAACAAATGGGATCCAGGTATTCTAACAAGCCACAGAAGTGTTAATAATAAAGTCTCTGGCCAGACTAAAGTCTTGATAATCTTAATTAATAAGGTTACACTTAGGCTATAGCATCTTAAGTAAGTGCGCAAAAGAGAGCTTTTATCTACAAGTTGAAGCCTTTAGCAGGTAAAATGAAGCTATAGTCATTTAAATAGAATTCGTCTAACTAAGAATATTCCTCCCGTGAAATGATAACTGATGCTGAGATAACAAATAGTAGTATCAAGAGTAGTTTCAATAAAGGCTAGTCTGCAATAAATGTAAACGCAGCTTTTAGAGTGCTCATTAATTAGAGTAGGATCTAAGTCCGGAGCTCTGGGTTGCGGAGTAAGGGAGACGTCAATAAAAGCTTACATACAGTCCAGCTCATCGGCCCCGCTGGTATATTGATATTGACTAGACGAAAGACCTAAGCTTAATTGTGCTCCTATGCTCTATTTGATTGGGAAAACGAGGACCAAAGGAATCATCATCACAAAGATCACAACTTGATGATCCGGAATTTGTTATAAATTGGCCTGATAGTTCAGATGTATATTGATTTCAAGTTTCTTCTTCAAGAGTTATGTCTTGGAATCAACATTCCAGTCGGGTTTTGTTTTCTCTCTTTCTCAGCCTTCATCGAAACCACAGCAGTCTTTTGCTTTTGAGTCTGGTGATCGGCTTCCGGCACTGGAATGGAACCTTGAATTGTGTTGATATGTGTAGAATCACCAACTCTCAGATGACGCTCAAACTCAATTTCTACAAGCCACGGATACTGCGTGAGTCCCTTGCTTCCCACAAGTGCCGCATTGACGAACAGGGTCTCCCTAGGAGCCAGTTGCTCTTCATCGCCCTGGCAATAACTGGCGACACAATATCTTTGAGACTCATATCGCTCCAATCTGTCTAGTCGAGCTTTACTGTCTTCCGGAGACTCCCAATTAGTCCCCTGCAAGCGCGGCAGACTCTCGACAATCCGCGACTTGCCATTGTCGATGTCGCTGAAATGGGGTGGATTTTCTGATATCTGGGGTCGCCAAGAAACGACCTTTGCACCCCAACCGCTGTGGACATGCCCGAAACAGTGAATTCGGGGCTGTGATTTTGCAATGGCAGAGAACAGCTGAGGGCAACCGATTCGTTGCCTTTCTGGCGCCATATCCATTAGGCCATGTGGTGGGCCATGTGTCACCACAATGTCGATCCCTTTTGGAATAGCAAATTCGTGGGTCCCATTGTACTGAAAGCCCCAATCCGCGCTGCCGGATGTTGTAGGAGTATATGGGCTGGCATAAACTTTCATCGAGGCGCCATTCTGAAGACGAATCTCATGCGTTCCTTCGTTGAGGAATATGATACCATGGCCTGCTTCCATGAGCAGCCTCCTAGCCTCACCATAGTCTCCGTATTCATGTTTGATGCTTTTCTTGAGGTCCTGTTGTGCTGCTCTGCTTGCTTCTGCAATCTTATTTCTGAAGACCCCGTCGTCAAGAGAGAAGTCATGATTTCCCGCAATAACAATCTTGGTGGGAGCATCTATTTCCCTGAGAAGTTGAATCGCTTCTCGGAAGTCTTCAAGCTTAGAATCTTCCGTGAGATCACCGCAATGAATGACAAGGTCGACTGGTGTGAGGGGTTTCTTATCCTCCACGAAGCGCAATCCATGAGTATCTGACAAGATAAGAATCCTTGTCTTGATGAGAGAGAACATCTTTCAGATCTGCTTTTGTAAGGTAGCGAGATTTTGGGAGAGAGTAAGATATCAAATAGTGAGTATGGGGAATGCAATGGGTACAGATATGCGGTCAGGCTGACACACAAGAATATATGTTTGGTGGAGGAATTTTCTTTTAGTGTTTTGAGTATTCCAAAGGATGATTGGATATCAGGTTATACTTCCCAGAATCATTTTCAGCCATGAGCCTAATTCCGAAACTTTACAGGTAGAACTCACCTCATGACTACCAAAATAGGGAAATAAAGTTGTTTGAGGCGCCAATGATCATCCAAAGCTAGCACGTGCAAGGCTGACCATATTAGCCAAAGAAAGCATGTCATAGGGAACGTACCATACTAAGTTCCGTGTACAATATAAGCTCTCTCAACTGGAAATGATAGTGCCGTGCAAATACTTCGACAAAGTCTATGCTGAAAGTTGACTGACCCTGTGTATATAAGAGCATGAAATAGTCTTCTTTCCACTATATGAGCCTCTTCCCTTTTTATCGCCAGAGACTCCTTTTCACAAGAAGCGAACCTACAGCAGACAATATGGGTCTTTTAGACTTCATAAACCGAGCCTTTTATCCCCCAGTCCCTCCAGAAGGCGAAGATTCTTCACCCACGAGTCCTGCATCAACTTACACCAACGCAGACGTCACTGACGCACCTATCGCTCAAAATCCTCCCCCTCCATACCAAGAAATCACAGCACCCAAAGTATGGAAGGTCGAAATGACGTTTGGATCTGACCCCAACTTGTTGAGGCAGGAGCGCCCGGTAGTGCAAATGGACACAGGCTGGGAAGCCTACCTCGAACTTTCCACAACAGATATTGTCGGCTTGATGAGAGAAGGGCTGTACGTGTCTCAGGACAATGTCATTGTGCAGGAGAATTGCTTGACGATGCGCCCGGACCCACAGAAATACCAGACGCACTGCTATGACCGTCATTTTGCTCTTTCTGGTCCAGGTTGGGAAGGGAAGCTGGTGGTCTCGACACTGGGACTCCCTGTTGCATCAAACTTCCGTGTCAAGCATCTCTCAGCGGACAAAGTATATCGCTGTGAGGCCCGGGATTTATCTAAGGAGGGAAGTCGGGTATATAACTTCTGGCTAGATGGTGAGGAAAACGCAAATTACATTTTGGACGACACTCCTTTGGAAGGCTTGTGGCCATGGCCTCGTGATGAAGACATCACTCAAAATTGAAAGGGGAAGGAAACAAGACGGACCCGAGGAAGTCGAGATCCTTGAACAGCTCGCATACCTCAGGTATTGTGGTTGAACTTGCTCAAGTTCATCAAAGAGTTACGGGCGGTTCTTTCCCACTCAGATAGACAAGTTTCAGTATAACTTATTTCGTCTCGCCAGTCTCTTTTCCTTTTCCTTTCCTTTTCTTTTCTTTTCAAGGACATCAAAATGCCAGATTCGTAAGTACTCGCTATCTATTTGTGATTCACAGACACTTTCCACCCTGATTCAAACTTGCATACTCTACATCCCGATTCACAGACCATTCAAGTCCTGGTTAAGAGCGTTGCTCAGGGGTGTGATTCAATAACGCTAACCTATTCACAGAACGCTTGTAAATATTGAAGTGTCTGTGACCCCGGGGTCACTACCACTGCCACAGCTCCTTCGGCGCCTCACCAGCTCGCCCACCAACACTCCCCAGCCCACAGAGCGACCTCTCACCTCCACCCCCAAGCCAGGTTCCCAAGAGACTGTCGCACAGTCCAGTACCGCGATGACATCCCGGAAAACGAAGACCGATCCGTAAGTAAGGCCCGTCCTCTTCATACATGCTCAAACTGATCAAAACGCCCACAGAAGCCCATCGGTGTTGTCATGGGATGCCATATATGCTCAAGCTAATCAAGACGCCCAAAGAGACCCGCCTATGCTTCCAAGGGATGCTGTCATCACAATGCCCGACAGGGAAACTTCTGGGGTAGATGAAGGCGAGGTGAGGCCGTGGATTGGGAAGGTCAATATCACCATGGGCGAGGCTGGGTGCGGCGTCCTGAACGGGCTGTGGTGGTTGGTCCTGGTGGTGATCCTGGGGTTCATAACTGTTGCTGTGATCCACGCCTTGTAATAAACATAATTACAACAACTCCCATTCTGCTTCGACCCAGGGCCTTCCTCGCGTCTCCTTTGCCAGTGGAGACATTGACATCCAAGTCGATAGGTCCCCTGCTACCTGCACTATATCATTCTGATTACCTATCCCATCAGTAGAGTGATGGATCTTGCCCTCGCCCATCAAGAATCGTAAGTATCGCTCTGGCGTCGGCGATGGCTTCGCTAGGACATTAGCCTTATAGGTTTCAAGCGGCACACTCGTCACTTGGATACGGCCAGCCCCGTTCTCTTCCATGATCTCTGCTATCTCAGTCATAGACTTGCTATCACCGCTGAGGTGTACCTCTGGAGGTATATTGCCGACTGGGTGGCTTGCGAGTATGGCGAGCGCTTTGCCAACGTCATACATACTCGTGTACGAAGTCTTCTGCGCGGGATCGCCAACGGCCTCGTATCTGCCACCTTTTGTATCGAAGCCAAACCACGGACCGATTGAGTCCTCGAGGAATAAGCCAGCATAGACGCGGCATATGCTTATGTTGGGGATGAGCTCTGATGCAAGCTGGAAATGGGCCTTCTTAGCGTCCCATTCTTCGTGTGAAAAGTCGTGCACATAATGATCGACACCAAACTCAGAAGGAAAATAGAGCTTAACGCCGGAACCAGGGATGGCGCGCAGAAGGGTCTCTTTGAAGTGATGACCACTGGGGCCTACACTGTATTTAAGAAAGAGATGTCAGGCGTTGTCACAATCAATCTGAGGTAAACGTACGTGTTGATCAGGACATCGACCCCAGCTAGTGCCTCTTGCAAGTTGTCCTCGGTATACAGACGCAATGATGCGCCGTGTTTTACGAGATTCTCGGCCTTGGGTGAACGGGAGCGTGCTAGGACTATGATGTCATGGAACCTAACGTGCATGATAAGCGAGTGCTCCAGACAAGCGAGTGCTCCAAAAATCCCTCAACCTACACTATCACTTTTCAATCAGATATTTCTCAACAATCCAATATGCCAGAGTCTCCAAATGAAGCTAAGATTATTCTTGCCCTTCAGGCCCTCCAGAATGACCCAAAATTAAGTCTTAGAAAGGCCGCAGCTATATATCATGTTGACCGCTTTGCCTTAAGTCGCCGCCA